GGCTGGCTGTAACCCCGTGCTATCACGGTGCAGGAGGCTGGCTGTAACTCCGTGCTATCACGGTGCAGGAGGCTGTGCTGTAACCCCGTGCTATCACGGTGCAGGAGGCTGGCTGTAACCCCGTGCTATCACCGTGCAGGAGGCTGGCTGGCTGTAACCCCGTGCTATCACCGTGCAGGAGGCTGGCTGTAACCCCGTGCTATCACGGTGCAGGAGGCTGGCTGTAACCCCCTGCTATCACGGTGCAGGAGGCTGGCTGTAACCCCGTGCTATCACCGTGCAGGAGGCTGTGCTGGCTGTAACCCCGTGCTATCACCGTGCAGGAGGCTGTGCTGGCTGTAACCCCGTGCTATCACCGTGCAGGAGGCTGGCTGGCTGTAACCCCGTGCTATCACCGTGCAGGAGGCTGGCTGGCTGTAACCCCGTGCTATCACGGTGCAGGAGGCTGTGTTGTAACCCCGTGCTATCACGGTGCAGGAGGCTGCGCTGTAACCCCGTGCTATCACCGTGCTGGAGGCTGTGCTGTAACCCCGTGCAGGAGGCTGGCTGTAACCCCGTGCTATCACCGTGCAGGAGGCTGGCTGGCTGTAACCCCGTGCTATCACCGTGCAGGAGGCTGGCTGGCTGTAACCCCGTGCTATCACCGTGCAGGAGGCTGGCTGGGCGGGCTGTGCTGTCACAGGTCACGGTCAGCCATTTTCTGTGAGGGTGGTTTGTGTCTCCCAGCGGCCATGTTGTGTGCCGGCCTGCACCTCCCCCGGTCAGGGTGTAGATGGCAGTGTGGGGCCGCCGCTGTCACAGCTCAGGGAGTATAAGACATGCTCGTGTTACGGAGCTATGGCGCGCTCGCTCTCTGCCAGGCTGTCCTGACACGCTGCCCCGGAAGGCTTCCTGCTGCTTCCCGCCGCTGGCTGAGCATGGAGCGCTACAGCACCCAGGAGAGGGGGCGCCCCAACACCGCCGAGTACCGGCTCTACTTCAGTGAGTATCGGCACCGTGTCCCTGCCCGACACAGCGCCCTCTCCGGCCAATAGCAGCAGCGCTGCCACACTGCCCGGGCTCCTCCCTAATACCGAGCCCCCCGGGGGGAGCACACTGACCGCTCTGTCTGGGACCCAGTGTGAGTGCTGCAGCTTTACTCTCACTGTCTGCATACTGAGTGTGACCCAGTGTGAGTGCTGCAGCTTTACCCTCACTGTCTGCATACTGAGTGTGACCCAGTGTGAGTGCTGCAGCTTTACTCTCACTGTCTGCATACTGAGTGTGACCCAGTGTGAGTGCTGCAGCTTTACCCTCACTTTCTGTCTGCATACTGAGTGTGACCCAGTGTGAGTGCTGCAGCTTTACTCTCACTGTCTGCATACTGAGTGTGACCTTGCAGATAGTAACTGCTCACTGCAAGGTCATCAATGACTCTTGACCAGAGCCAGGCTGACTACTAGAAGCGTGTGTTGTGCTGTGTGTCTGTGTATATTTGTCTTTATTATTTTAATATGATGCCTTCTTACCCACATTAAGTTATGTACTCTGATACAGGCCATGAAAGGAACACTGTTATTAAACTTTTTTTTTTTTATTCAATGTGTTCCTTATTTTTAGGAAACTGACTACTTTTTACATTTTATTAAAATAGCCATTTGATTTATCTGTAATCAAACACTGGGATCCTGCCCTCACTAGAGCCCAGTCCTGCTATTGGGACTCACTAATGACCTTTGTCAAGTCAAGTACGTTTCTTAGAGAAGTTCTGCAAACTTTTGGTGCATACATGGCAATAACCTTGATCTGCTAGTCCTATTTTTCTATTTTCGAGGCTTTGGTGTTACAGTATTTGGCATCAGCATACTTTGCATGTTAATGCTAGAGGTCAAATGCATTCAGTGATTGGGATTCTAGCTTTTGCTGCAATTTCACAGGCTGTGGGATCTGGAGCTAGTTGTGATACTTGATGTCCTATATTAGTGTTTCATAACCTTTTTATGGATAAGTACCACTGTAGGTCTAAATATTTTCCTAAGTACTCCTGCATTAAGAAAGTAATTTTTATTGGTTTAAATTTAAAAAATGAACATGTAGAATGTAAACCAATAAAACAATGATATTTATAGGCACCCAGGTCAATTCTATTCATTGAAGTGGTCTGGGTGCAGTGTGCCAGATCCCCTTAGTTTTAACCCTGCAGCTGTGAAACTGCTATGTTTACATTGAGTGTTAATCCAGCCTCTAGTGGCTGTCTCCCTGATAGCCACTAGAGGCCGCTTCCGCGATTCTCAGTGTGAAAATCACACTGAGATGACGCTGGACGTCCATAGGAAAGCAATGAGGCGGTTTGAATGTGCGTGTGTTTGGAACTGCATTGTTTTACATTGCAGCACTAAGTGCAAACGGGTCACAGCACCCAGACTACGTCAGTGAGCTGAAGTGGTCTGGGTGCCTACAGTGTCCCTTTAATCTGAAGTATAAAAGTCACAAAATGAAGTTAGAATTCACCCATAATCGTTACACACAGGACACTGACACATTTACACAGAGGACACACATACACTGACACACACTATCACTGATTTGACAAATGTGCACACACTCCACTGACAAACGCACACTTGGAAAATGCATAATTTTATTTATTAACTTTTTTTTTTTATGTCCACCTAGCCTTCCTACCTTTTTTTGTGAGAGCTGGAGTGGATTGTTTCCCTGAAATCCAGTGATGGGTTGTGTAATTTTTGTTCTCTTCCAGCACTGCTCCCTCGTGGGCTGTCTAGTGATTCCAAGGCCAGAGTGACCTCATAACCTGGCATCACCAAAGGGAGCAGTGCTGAAAGAGCATGAAGATTACAGCTCCATCGCTGCCTCTATTCTCCCCCCGCCGACTGTATTTGCGAACAGTCTGCTGCCTCCGGGGGCACTAAGGTGGTGGCCAGCTCCTGGCGCATCCTCTGCCTTTGGTATGTGTACCTCTTGAAAGTACAGGTGTCACTGGTTGAGAAACTTGGTTATATAGCACTGCTGATCTTTTCCCATGTATGCAGTGCTTGTGGGCACAACCATGTGTTTTTCTTTTTCTTAAAGTATTGCTCAGAAATGGGGATCGACCAATATTGGGGTTTTTTTGTTTTGGTTTTTTTGAGTCAATACCGATAAACTTTCAGGCCGATAACTTACCGTTTCTGATACCCTGTACATTTACCATTTTGGAAAAGTAAACCATTTCTACACAAATCTACTGTTAACTGAATATATTTATTTGTTTTTTTGCAAATCTTTTATTTTTATTAAGGTAAATGCAAAAAAATATACATGCAGTCAGAAGTTTTATTTTTTGAAGAGTGTGTGTGTGTGTGTGTGTGTGTGTGTGTGTGTGTGTGTGTAATGCATGCAGAATGTGTGTGTGTGTGTATATAGTGGATGCAGTGAGTGTCTGTACAGTGTGTAGGTTTATAATGAATGCAGTGTATAGTGTATAATGAAAGCAGATTGTGTGTTTGTCTAGTGTGAGTATCTAATGAAGGCGTAGTTTGTGTATTTGTAGGCATGTAATGTGTGTAGATAGGGGGGCATTTTTCATTATTTAAAAAAAAAATTTTTTACATTTTGTTTTACTCCACCCTCCCTGCGTCTTACCTCGCCAGGGAGGGGGGATATGGCATTCCCTACGGGGCCAAGAACACTTACTTACCTTCCCAGCAGCTCTCCTGCTTAACTCTCTCAGCCCATGTGCCATGCGGAGCATTGCCATGGTAACCCGTGGCAACGCTCTGATGGCTGTGGGTCTTGCGTTAGGTGAGCTCAAGGGTGCTGCTGGGAAGGTAAGTAAGAGTGTGCTGGCTCCCCAGGACCCTAATGGCGGCCCGGGTCTGCAATATCGTTATCTTTATTGGTCGATATTGCTGAAAATACAGAAAATCTGCCCATAATATCAGCCAGACCGATAATCTGTCGATCCCTACTCAGAAACCCAAGCAAAAGAGAAACCCTGCAGTTTTGGTGAGTGACAAAAAGTGTAGAAACAATTACAAAACATTTAGAGATTAAAGGAGCACTATAGGCACCTAGACCAGTTCATCTCAATTTAGTGGTCTTGGTGCAGTGGCACTGTAGTCTTGTAGATACAGCAATGTTTTAATTGCAGGGTTAACACACTTCCAGTGGCTATGAGAAGTATTAGGTTTATTAGGCTGTGCAGCAAAGAAGGGGGGGGGGGATTGGAGTTAAAAGATAAACTAGGTTTTTATATTAGTTTTTCTAAGTAAAACTCAAATTTGTAATTTAAATTTTTTTTTTTATTTACTTTCGTATTTATTTATTTATTTATTTATTTATTTATTTTGATGAACGGGGTAGGGGTTACAGGAAAAAGAAGTGATGTCAAGAGACACAAACACCGTTTCACAGTTTCGTATTCGAGGTCACAGGATAAACAGCAAGGTGTAATCATACAATCCATTGGGTGGCCTTTCCATAGCGCGGTGCTATCCATCTTTATAGTTTTGGTGTTCTTGGGACTCCTTCGGTGGGGAGGATCTTGAGGGCCTTACTGTGCTCTGGGGGTTTCTGTGCCTTCCACATGTGTAGCTGTGTATATTATCTTAGGTGTCAGGGGTGGGGGTAACTGGGTGAAATTTGTAATAATTTTAATGCTGACACGTGCTTTCAGGATGTTGCTTAGACATGTTTGCTCAGTATGTTTCAGTGCACACGCCAATCCTAATAAAATGTACCAAAAAATGTTTACGTCTGTAAAAGATCTTCTGACTCCGCTGTTGTCTTCCCATCTATCATTACACTTAACAGAATTCCTAATCAATGGGTTTCACACCCGTATACTTTCCTATCTACTGGTATTTTAGAATGTAACAATTTCAAAACTACTTTGAGGTATCCTGTTACAGTTGACTTCATTCTAGCCATATAATTAAGCAAGGTTTTCTAGTAGGCCTTATCCTGTGCCGAAAGTAATACCAAACTACTGCGCAGCTTAAAGGACAGAATAGTTATTCAATAAACTGCGTGTTTCAATCAATAAAACTAAAAGTCCTGACACTAAAGTAATCCAGCCAGAATGAGTAGCCATGGAAGCCAGTTTCCCTAGGGAGGAAATTTCTTGTATCCTGTAAAACATTGATCTTGTTATACAGCAAGATTCCTGTGTAACTGTAAGGAACTACAATCCCTTCTAGGCTTTCATAATTTTGCTATGAGGATCATCTCATAAGGCCATTAATTTATCGCTAGAATGCTCTGTTTGTTTGTTACTTGGTCTCTCCACTGATGATAGTCAAGTAAACCAAGACAATCAAAATATGGCAGATATATACATGTGGCAGCGTTTTCTCTTTGATTGGAATGGGAAATCCATGTTTCTTCCAACTCTTTAATTCACCCATAGTTTATCCTGATGCTGCATCCTCAACAGGTTTTGCTCCAAGCTTTAGAAATTACATAGTCCATCAAGTTCAGCCTTCCTCACATATGTTTTTGCTGTTGATCCAAAAGAAGGCAAAAAAAACCCAGTCTGACGCGTTTCCAACTTTGCAACAAACTAGGAACAAATTCCTTCTTGACCCCAAAATAGCAGTCCGATATCTCCTTGGCTCAAGCAGCTATTTCCCTATTAATTAGAAATTATATCCCTGTATGTTGTTTTTTTGGAAGTATTTATCCAGTTGCTGTTTAAGCATCTGTATGGACTCTGATAAAAGCACCTCTTCAGGTAGAGAATTCTATATACTTATTGCTCTTACTGTAAAAAACCTTTTCTTTGCCTTAGATGAAATCTCCTTTCTTCCAGCCTAAATGCGTGATCTTGTGTCCGATCTGTATAGCCCTGTTTATGAATAGATTTCCAGATAATGGTTTGTACTGGCCCTGAATATATTTGTATAATGTGATCCTATCCCCTCTGAGGTGCCATTTTTCCAAACTAAAGATTTTGAAATTTTGAAACCTTTCTTCGGAACTAAAATGCTCCATTCCTTTTATCAACTTTGTAGCTCGTCTCTACACTTTTTCTAATGCCATAATATCCTTCTTTAGAACAGGTGCCCCAAATTGCACAGCATATTCTAGGTAAGGTCTTACCAGTGATTTATAAAGAGGCAAAATTATATTTTCATCCTGAGAATTTATGCCCCTATTTATACATGACAAAACCTTACTGGCCTTAGAAACTGCAGATTGACATTGCATATTGCTGCCTAATTTGTTGTCGAGAAGGATTTGGGAATTGTTATAGTGTGTGGTTATCCCTAATTCACTACCATTTAGGGTGTAAGTTGCTTGTGCGTAACTTTGCATTTTTCTACGTTAAATTTCATCTGCCATTTTAGTGCCTAGGCCCACAATCTATCCAAATCCCTCTGCAGCAAAGCAATATCCTGCTCACATTTTATTACTTTACAAAGTTTGTCATCTGCAAACACTGAAACATGGCTTTCAATGCCTATTTTAAGATAATTTTTATAAATATGTAAAATAGAAGTGGTCCCAAAACAGAATCCTGAGGGACACCTCTTACCACTTTTGTCCAGCCTGAAAATTTACCATTAATGACAACTCTTTGTACTCTATCCTTAAGCCAATGTTCTACCCAAGAACAAGAATATTCATCTAGACCAATTTCTTTTAGTTTGAAGACTATCCTATTGTGAGGAACCGTATCAAATGCCTTGGCAAAATCCAAATAGATCACATCCACTTCAACACCCTGATCTATACTTCTACTTACTTCTTCGTAGAATGCAATTAGGTGAGTTTGACATGACCTGTGTTTCATAAAACCATGCTGATTATTGCTAATAACAAAGGTATGAATTCCTGAATATTATCCCTTAATAGCCCTTCAAATATTTTCACAGTCACAGAAGTTAGGCTCACAGGTCTATAATTTCCAGGCAAGGATTTTGAACCCTTTTAAAATATAGGAACAACATCTGCCTTCCTCCAATCCTGCGGTACAATACCTGAAACAAAAGAATCATGACAAATTAAATACAGAGGTTCACCTATTTCCACACTTGGCTCCTTAAGTACTTTATTTACATAAATTTCTTTTAACTGCTGTAGCACCTTGTCTTAAGTCATCCAATCACAAGTTATCTACAAGATTTTTCAAGCAATCATTTGCATATCTCTTGCCATAGGATCCTCATTAATATATACTGAAGAAAGTTATTTAAAATGTCTGCCTTTTCCTGATCTTCATTAGCTAACAGAGCCATCTGTTTCCAGTGTACTTTCACATGTTCAGTTAATCTACCTTTCTAACATTTGTTTGAATAGTTTCCATTTATCTTCAGTGTGTTTTTTTTATTTATTTTTTTATTTTTTTATTTTTTTATTTTTATTTTTTAATTCTTTATTTTTTCATCTTGACAGTCAGCGAACATAACAGTAGCCACATGACTTGTGCAAAAGTCAGTTATAGTGCAATATAATATCCCATGTAAGTGAAAAGGGGAAGGTAACATGCCTTTGAACAATGCGTATTCTACACAAGTAATTACAATTTGGCCGGTCTTCAAGGAGTTTTGGAATAAGATTGACATTGCCAGAATACCAGACATGCGGTTTAAGTATGCGGTGCTAACTTCACATAACCATGAGCTTTCTATAGCATAAGGGTGGAGCATCTGCCGCTACTCGGGGGTATCAGCAGATGCCCCCTGTATTGTACACCAGCTATTTACTACGTCAGATATCTAACAACGTCTACCAGTCCTGCCTCCTGGACTGGACTAGCAAAACAGGGGGAGAGAGAGAAGTGAAAGAGGGGGAAAGCAAGTGGGAGGTGGGACCTATTTTGAATTTGTTGAACAAAGGTGACAAGCACCTGTTAGTGCTATGTGGGGGGAGGGGGGGGGAGAGCCGGGGGACCATGCGGTCTGTGAGGTTGGGCACCTATCTCGAGAACCTCTCCCAAGTCCATATACCTCAATTGTTCCCAGTCCCCATTAGCAGAGCAGAGGTGGGCGTATAGCTCCGTTATCATCCCTTTGGGTACGGTTTCCGCCAGGCAGTGCCGTTCAAAGAACGTCTTTTGCTGCAGTGCTGCCATTTTTATATGGGGGTTGTTTCGCGAAATCTCTCAGTTGGATATAACGAAAAAAATCGTCTGGCGTCAAGTGCCTCCCATGTGCGAGGCCTTCAAAGCCAACGAACTCAGTGCCCTGATACAAATGGCATATTCTCTGGATGCCTGTCTGTTCTATGTTTCTGAAATCCCTGGGGACCATGCCTGGGGGGAAGGCTCTATTTCGTAGATGGGGCATGAGGGGGGAAGGTGAGGAAGCTAGTTTGTGTTTTATGTGGGAGGAGTCCCAGATTCTTAAGGAGTTGAGGATTGTTGGGCAGGTAACTCTTAGTATGGATCTGTTTTCTTTTGGTACCCACATTGCGAATTGTGGTAGATCGGCCCCTACCATGAGCGATTTCTATATCAACCCATTTTCTGTCTCCCGGGGGTGAGTGCCACATTGCTACTTGTGTTAATTGGGCTGCTAAATAGTAATAGTATAGGCAGGGAAGCCCCAGGCCGCCTCTTGGTTTGGGTCTATATAGAACCTGTCTGGAGATCCTATGTCTTTTGTTCTGCCAGTTGAATGCGCATATTGCCCTCTGGAGAGGGAGCAATTGGGCCTTGTTAACGCGTATGGGTAGTGCCTGAAACAGGCAGAGGATGTGCGGCAGGACATTCATTTTAGCAGAATGAATTCTTCCTATCCATGATATGGGTTTGTCCAGCCATTTATCTAAATCCTTCACCAGCGTTTTGATTAGGGGGATGTAATTATGCTGAAATAGCTTGTCCGGGTCAGCTGTCAGATGTATCCCTAGGTATTTGAGAGATGAGTGTTCTAAATGTATAGTGTGCCTGTCTCCGATTTCTGCCGTGTCCGCCGCCGTCAGTCCCAGTGGGAGAGCGCTAGACTTGGTCATGTTGACCATGTATCCCGAAAGTGCTCCATAGTTCTGCAGGATCTCTTTTAGAACGGTCATTGATTCCGTTGGGCTCGTCAGTGTCAGGAGCACGTCGTCTGCATATGTAGACACTAGGAACTCCTGTCCTCCTACAGTCACTCCTCTCACTCCAGGGTGTCGTTGCAGGGTTTGTAACAGTGGTTCAAGCGACAGAACAAATAGGAGTGGGGATAACTGGCACCCCTGTTCCGTGCCGTTGTGTAGTCTAAAGGGTTGGAGGGGGGCTCCCGTGACTTATCTTCAGTGTTTTTATCACTGAGTTTATGCCAGTCTATTTGTTGTAGAGCTGCCCTAATCTTATTGAAATTGGCTTTTTTTTTTAAATATGGTTTTTAGTATACCCCACGTGCTTTTGCTTTTTTATTTTTTTATTTATTTATTTTTTTTAATTACCATATTGTGATCACTATTTCCCAAATGCTCCCCTACTTGAATGTTGGTCAAAAGATCAACATTGTTTGTTTTAACGAGATCCATACAAGCATCCTTTCTAGTTGGTGCTTGTACCAGTTTGTGACATGAAGGTGTCATTTGACACATTCTAAAATCTGATTTCCCCTTGCTGAAGTACTAGTCACTCTATCCCAGTTTATGTCCGGGTAATTAAAATCTCCAATAATTAACGTGTTACCCCGATTTGCAGCTTTCCCAATTTGCTGTTCTTCCTCAACTTGCTGTTCTTCCTCATTAGTATTTACATTAGGTGGTTTATAACATATCCCAACCAATAATTGATTTCCCTTTTTTTTTGGTCGCAAGCGGATAACTATCCATAAAGCTTCCACATTTTTCTGGTCACACTCCACATGCCTAAGATTTGACTTTAACTCATGGTTGACATACAAACATACCCCAACACTCTTCTTGTTTTTCTTATCCTTCATAAATAACTTGTACCCATTTAAGTTAACTGTGCAGTCATATGTCTCATCCCACCATGTTTCTGTTATGCCTATTATATCATATTGTTTAGTGTGTGCTAGTTCCCCCATTTTGTTATATAGGCTCCTTGCATTAGTAAGCATACATTAATATCATCATGAGCCATTTGTACTTTTTGTGAATTTTCATCAATATTACATACCTCCTCTGTTCTGAGCTTTCCCCCCCCCCCCCCCATCTCCACCCCCTTATACTGAGCTAAAGTCCATCTCCTTTCTATCCTATCTCCATTTTCTAGACTGCTTTGACCCTCCCCCCCCCGCTACTAGTTTAGCGGGGGGGAGGGTCATCCTATTCCCCAGCACACCAGACCCTCTTACGTTTAGGTGCAATCCATCACGACTATACACGTTGTACCCAAGCGCAAAATCGGCCCAGTGCTCTAAAAACCCCAAACCTTCTTTCCTGACCCAAGACTTCAGCCACGCATTGACCTCTCTTATCTCCCACTGCCTTTCTGCTGTAGCACATGGCACAGGTAATATTTCTGAAAATATTACCTTGGAGGTCCTTTTCTTTAGCTTACTTCCTAGTTCCCTGAACTCATTCTTTAGGACCTTCCATTTTCCTCTGACTTTGTAATTGGTACCAATATGGATCATGACAGCTGGGTCATCCCCAGCCCCTCCCAATAATCCCTCCACTCTGTCGACAACATGCTGGACCCAAGCACCCGGGAGATAGCAAACGTTCTGGTTGAGACGATCAGAGTGGCAGATTACCCTATCTACTCTCTTAATATTAGAGTCCCCTACCACCACAACCTGTTTTAGCCTTCTTTACCCTCTCAACCTCACCTGTATTAGAGGGGCCGTTCCCATGGCTATTAGAATGAACATCTTCCTGCAGTACAGCTACTCCTGAGCTGATACTCCCAACATCTTCACTCAAACGGGCAAATCTGTTAGGCTGCATAAAATCAGGATTAGCTAAACCTTTCCTCTTCCCTCCCCCGCTGCTTCCTCGCCCCACTGTTACCCAGTTATGTGCCTGCTCACCAACGGTCTCATCTCCTCCCACTCCACTACCTGCACCCACTAAACTCTGCTCAGTGAGCAGTAGACTCCTCTCAAGATTGTCAATCTCTCTCAATGTTGCAATTTGACTCTCCAGTTGTCTATGGAACATATGGCCTCCCGAAACAAATGATCTAAATGCCTTAAAAAATACATCAGCTCTATTTGAGGTGTACCCAATAGTAGCCGCAGCCCAAGCCTCTGGCCACTTGAACATAGCTTCAGAGTCTTGGAATTGCTTATAGTGGATGACCGAGTGACTGCTACTAGAGGTGTCCTAAAGCAGCAATGTAAACACTGTTTGTTTTTTCTTTTTCTTTCTTTAACCCCTTAAGACCGGAGGGCGTACTATTACGCCCTATTTTAGGCGGCTCTAAACGCCACCGGGCGTAATAGTATGCCCTCTGGTCTTTCATTACTTACCCGGTCGCCGGCGGTCCCACGCCGGCGATCGCGGTTGGGGGGACTCCCAGGGAGCCCCCGCGGCAGATCTTCTTCCTGGCAGCCCCCCCAGCCATGTGAGAGTGAGGTCCTTGCAAGGACCTCACAATCACATGGCCGGGATAGCTGGCTGCTGTAATGACAGGTAGTCCCCCCTGCTGGCTGGAAATAAAATTAAAGTTAAAAAGTGTGTGCAAAAAAAAAAAAAAAAGTATATGTGTGTGTGTGTATATATGTATGTATATATGTGTGTGTGTGTATATATATATATATATGTATATGTGTGTATATTAAATTACACGTAGACTGACACTGATTAAATATATTTATTATTATTATTAAATATGTAAATACATTAAAAATAGATGTTATTTCGTTCTAACTGTATTGTGATATTAATATATATTTATATCAAAATACACGTAGAACGAAATAATATATACCTATAAATATAAAATAACAAATATATTTATGTAATATTTTTACATAATTAGGTATCTTAATTAATTACAATAAGCGGGACCTGCCTGACAACCCATGCCGAAAGTAAAGGGAATTTAATTTGCTAGCACTATATTTAGCTCTATAACTTTCCAAAACACCATAAAACGTGTACATGGGGGGTACTGTTCTACTCGGTAGACTTCGCTGAACACAAACATTAGTGTTTCAAAACCGTAAAATGTATTACAACAATATCGCCAGTAAAAGTGAAGTTTTTTGCATTTTTCACGCACAAACAGCACTTACACGGACGATATTATTGCTGCGATACTTTTTACTGTTTTGAAACACAAATATGTGTTCAGCGAGGTCTCCCGAGTTCAACAGTACCCCTCATGTACAGGTTTTATGGTGTTTTCAAAAGTTACAGCGTCAAATATAAGGCTTGTTTCATTTTTTTCACATTAAAATTCGCCAGATTGGTTACGTTGCCTTTGAGACCCTATGGTAGCCAAAGAATGAAAATTACCCCTATGATGGCATACCATTTGCAATAGTAGACAACCCAAGGTATTGCAAACTGGGTATGTCCAATCTTTTTTAGTAGCCACTTAGTCGCAAACACTGGCCAAAATTGGTGGGTTTTTTGTATTTTTCACACACAAACAAATACGAACGCTAACTTTGGCCGTGATTGTGACCAAATGGCTACTAAAAAAGACTGGACATAGCCCATTTGCAATACCTTGGGTTGTCTACTATTGCAAATGGTATGCCATTATGGGTGTAAATTTCATTCCTGGGCTACTATAAAGTCCCAAAGGCAATGTAACCAATCTGGCGAATTTCAATTTCAAATGTAACGTGCTATATTTGACCCTGTAACTTCCCAAAACGCCATAAAACCTGTACATAGGGGTACTGTTTTACACGTGAGACTTTGCTGAATACAAATATGTGTATTTTATTGCAGTAAAAGCAAACAGTATTATGACATTGACCGTTAAAATGTCATGTAGAACTAAAAAAATCTTATTTTCTCCCATTTTTTTCATATTAAATTATGTTTCATAGCTAAATATTTGATATTAAATGAAAGGCCTGTTTCCCCTGAATAAAATGATATATAATAAGGGTGGGTGCCTTTTAATATGAAAGAGGTGAATTATGGTTGGACAGACATGTAGCACAAATGCCAGGTTTTGTTTACATTTTGTTTCCTTCACAACGTGTACATTTGGCTCAATCTTTAAGGGGTTAAAAAGGTTGTTTACATTGTAAAGCCTGCAGTGACATGCTGCAGACACCAGAAAAACTACATTAAGCTGCAGTGGTTCTAGTAGCGTCCCTTTTTAAGAATTGCATTTTTCTCGTTCAAAATTAAACTTTGTTAGTTTAAAAAAGAAATGGCTCCTAACTTTTTTAGCTTGCTCTTAGATTCCAAACAACTTTGTAAAGCCCTGTCATATGCTTACTTTATTCCCAAATAAACAAGCTTTTCTTTCTTCATATCAATTTAAAATCTACTAAAAGGCAGTCAGAAAACTAGTCAACCCCAAGCACCCTAAAGACTATCTGCTGATGATGACCTATTTTGCTCCCTGTCAGAATTACAAAGACTCCTGTTCTTTTGAGGCACAAACTAATAAACACCACAATCTACCTTGCATTCTATGGATTTCTCTAACCGTAAGTCAACTAAAACAGATCTATGTTTAAAAGTTGGCCATATTTAAAATAATCATTTAGACCACTATACTCTCTCACTGCCCCATTTGAAATCCAACCAGATGATAAGCCATAATAAATGGTGCTTTGTTAAAATGTTAGACTAGTTATCCACCATCCATTTATCCCATCCCAACTGTTATTTTCTCTTTGTGGTGCTATTCTTAAAGCCACAAAATGTAATACTATATATGAGAATGTTACTCATAAGACTAGGCCTGAATCCAGTATTCCATTCAGAATAGGGGCAGGTTTTTTTTTTTGTTTTTTTTTTTAATTCTCAACATTTTGCCTGGTTCTAATGGCCTCTCTTCTTAATTAAAGGGTTTCTCAAAGCACCATGACCATTATGGTTATTTAAAGTCGTCGTGGTGCATAGAGTATGTATGTACACCAACCTAGAATGAAATGCTGCCTATATGGAGGTTGGCTGCTAGTGGTGTAACTCTCCCACCAGCATCATTAGACAGCCTGGAGTTCCAGGTGGCTAATGTGAATTCTGTGATACTTTTGTCTGATACCAGCACATTGGCAGGAAGCCCCCTAAACACACTTTCGCCAGTGTCCTCTCCTTAGCAGCCACTTCCAGTGAGGGAGAATGACGTCAGCCGAGGAAGATCAGACTGCATTAAGATTTTGGCTGTGGTACTGGAACAAAAGTCAGGTGTGTTTTGTGTTTTTGTTTTTTGTTTTGTCCTACAAGAATACCTTTCCTGAAGAATTCACGTTGATGTCACTGCTCATAGCCTGGTTTAAAGAACTTTAAACTGGACCATGTAGAAATGGATAGCAGCTGCAGTTTGTAATGCAGCTGCATCTGCGGAACAACTAATATATCTCATGTTCCTAATATTAAATCTCTCTCCATCTTTCCCCCGGAGTATTTGTTCCTTAATCAGTACCCTGCCATGCATGAGCTGTGGGAATATGGGATCATTACTGTTAGATCTTTTGTTAATATATGTTTGATACTGTGGTATTAAGGCAGGTTCAGTGGGATGTCAATGTCTCATGAGAGGCATGCAATCCCAGAGCACATAGGCACCATGCTAACAGCACCTTCAACTGAGGTGCCTGTGTGTATTAATGCCATGGAATAATCTAACACAGGGGTCAGCAACCTATGGCACGTGTGCCATGCATGGCACACCAGGTGCTTTTGCATGGCACTCAAGGCTGCCAGAGCCAAACAGACTTTGGCCTACGAAGAGTCCCAGTGCGATCTCATATCTGCTAGTGCAAATGGATCAGTGATTGCAGGTGGTGAGGGGCAATCTTCAGCTTACGCATTGCAGCATGTAGAGGAGGTTATCTCAGAAAACATCCTCCCAGCACTTGTCAAACGGAATCCACACTGGAGTAGAGAAACCCACAGCAGCTATCACATCTCCTGTCCGTGACCTGTGTCTGGCCTACCCAGTCCACACTGCTAGATATACACAGCTGGAGAAGAAGCCTCCCCCACATACAAGTAATACAAACAGTCCACATAGAGACGCCACAGACAATCCACACATACACACAACCAGCCTCTCAGATGCAATAACACAAACCGTCCCACACATACACAAACCACCAAACACACAATGTGAAATATCAGTCATACAATTCAACAAGCAGCCCCCATACACAGCCCAGATTCGTAGGTATGAAACACAATACCACAAACTACTCATGAACATATATAACAGCCACATACACACAAATACAATGCTACAAAGCAACTGTAGCACCCAAAATTAATTAAATCAGTATATAGCAACACGCACATCTCAATAAAAAAAAAAAAAAACGGAACGGCATGCCAAGAGTAGTCAAGATCTTGTTTGTAGCACAATACTGCTGAAAGGTTGCCTACCCCTGATCTAACACTACTCTGGAGCTACCTTAGGTGTTCTCACAAGTGGGAGGATTCTGTATGTGAGCCCTAAAAAGAAGGGGGGTGGGAGGGGGTTACTGTGTTGGCACTGTCACACTGGTCAGGGAACGATGGCAGGTATACTGCAAAAACTGACACACCTCTTAATTATTCTGTTTCCTTTTTTTTTTTTTTTTTTATATTTTATTTTCCAATATTAAATCAACAAGACATAAACAGAAATACAGTTGCATGCATACATACATACATAGCGGAGCACAAGGTGTTCATACTATATATCTTATATCGTTTAGATAATACTTCTTAAAGTCCTACTTATAGTTAACCGTGCTCAGCTATCAGAATCACTAATTACATATAAAACATAATACACATATTTACACGCCGGCAGGAGTAGTTAGGGGGGCTCTGTGACTTGATCCCAGTATTCATTGTCCAAAAATAAACAAGTATACTAGTACGCTGTTCTATTGTACTACACTTGTAATAATGTTATGCTCTCTATTCAAACACACTCTGTATACTTTATACTCCGTCTGCCTACATCTCACAATTTTTTTTATTTTTTTTTTAACCAGAACCCGCTGTAATCTTCTTTAAATCCTTTCTTTGTACCTTTTATATAATATATATATAATAATATATGTGATTCCATCTTTAGTTGGAAATTAATTTGAGATAACACCTTATCTAAAGAGAAGGGTATGGCATTTTTCCAGTTTTGTGGTGCTTCAATTGCCACAGGTATATAAAATCAAACACCTAGCCATGCAGTCTGCATTTACAAACATTTGTGGGGGGAAATGGGTAGTTTTGAAGAGTTTAGTGAATACAAGCATGGTACTGTGATAGGATGCCACCTTTGCAATAAGTCAGTTCGGGAAATTTCATCCCTTCTAGATATTCCAATTGTAAGTGGTATTATAAAAAAAGTGGAATAGCAGCAACTCTGCCACAAAGGTGTGTGGGGTATGTAGTAGGGCTTCGTGCCACCGTAGCGAAGTCGAGTACGACCCCTTGCCTATGGGGGTCACGGGGAGATCTAGTTAGGCAGTTGTTGTTAAACATCGTGAGTCGTTGTAGGTGCTGAGCTGCTCCCTTATACTTAGAAAGGCACAATACTTGGTTCTCCATTAAAGTATAAAAGTAAAATTCAACTAAGTAAGAAAAGAAACAAAATAAATGTTATATATCATATGGTGAGATAGAAACTGTTAGGCTGATAACATCAGCGATACTAGGTGAGCCATATGGCTGTTTTATTCCAGTCTCCTCTGGGGGGAATGAGACACATCCCATGTGTGAGGTGTGGGCATGGAAGGTGTCTCAGATTTTACACTTTTTCGCAGGAGCAATGGAGGGTCGCGTCCATGCAGTTAAGCAGCTAGGCTCTGCCCCTAATTTCCTGATCTTAATACAATTTTCAATATATATATATATATATTTTTTTTTTTATTTTTTTTTGCAGAGAATGATGATGGTCAATTTATCTCACCGTTTCATGACATCCCCCTGTACCCAGAAACCGATAAGGCAAGTTACATTATTTTCTATGGTGAAATGTATATTTTTACACGATCTATATTTGTCTACCTGTAATATATTGGTAAAGTGTGTGTGTATAGTAAATGTAATTTTAAGGTCCCAATATCCTTTTACAATCTTTGTATCATGTAATATTTTTAAACCACATTATTTTGCATTTTATATGCCCACCAATATCCTTCTTTAAATGGCTATATTGTTCTTTCTGTGGATGAGCTTTTTATATTCGGTTTTAGCCCTGTGTAATGTTATGTATTTGGTAAGTATTTTGTGCACCAGAATATCTGCAGGGCATCTCCTATCTAAGGCAGCTTCATCTACTAGGAGTTGAAGACTAGAAGATGGTGGTGGTACAAGGAGGGGGGTTTTAGGCACGCATATCTTCATCAATGTTGCTTCAAGAACAATTATGCAAGCAAACATTTTTATGTGAACGGTCTATTCAAACAAAACAAGCCACAAGGTACTTTAAAGTGGCAGTGCACATTGGTTGGTTTAGTCAGTAGACAGATATTTATTGATTGTGGACCTTTTCCTTTATGTTGCATAAAGCATTCATATTTAATACAAGCCATAAGGCATTGTTTATGCTTTCATATCACTTGTGCTGTAAACATTTGTATTTTGGTATTAAAGCAACACTATAGTCACCTAAATTACTTTAGCTAAATGAAACAGTTTTGGTGTATAGATCATTCCCCTGCAATTTCACTGCTCAATTCACTATCATTTAGGAGTTGAATCCCTTTGTTTCTGTTTATGCAGCCCTAGCCACACCTGCCCTGACTATGGTTGACAGAGCCTGCATGAAAAAAAAAAAAAACAACTGGTTTCACTTTCAAACATATGTAATTTACCTTAAATAATTGTATCTCTAAATTAAATCACATACAAGAGGCTCTTGCAGGGTCTAGCAAGCTATTAACATAGCAGGGGATAAGAAAATCTTAATTAAACAGAACTTGCAATAAAGAAAGCCTAAATAGGGCTCTCTTTACAGGAAGTGTTTATGGAAGGCTTAGCAAGTCACATGCAGGGAGGTGTGACTAGGGTTCATAAACAAAGGGATTTAACTCCTAAATGGCAGAGGATTGAGCAGTGAGGCTGCAGGGGCATGTTCTATACACCAAAACTAGAGATGTTGCGAACTGTTCACGAACGGCTCGCCGCGAACCGTTCGCGGCGAGCTCTGGTCAGCTGACACATCCCGGCCAATCTCCAGCAGACCCTCCCTCCCACCTCCTGGACAGCATCCATGTTGAAGCTTGCCCAGGGAAGATTTTAATTTTTGTGTATTTTATTTACAATATATTTATATGTATATGTCACTTCAAATTAAAGGCTTTTTTGTCTTTAAAAAAGAGAATTTCTAAATATTGTGTTCAGTAAATGAAGATGGAACTTGTGGTTGAACACACACAGCAAACATTGCTTTGATCATTATGTGACAAACCAATGAAGCTTGGTCCTTAAAGGGTTAAGCTGCCTGGCTTTCAACTGATCTCTCGTTTTGTGTTGTTTTTTTTATTGGGGGGCGGAAAGATGGCTATTCTTTTTCCTAATAATATTATATTGCAACTTGTGGTTTTGTTTCTTTATGTGTTCTAAATATGTCATTTTTTTCCCCTTTTCTTTTTCCCAGGACGTTGATGTGCCTGCAAAGAAATCAAAGCCTAATTGGAATAAGGTTCTCTTCAGCATTTCCACTGCTAGCATTCCCCACTAAAGTACTCTCTACATATGACACTCATTAGTGCCCCTAGCCAGCTGTAATCAGTCTGTTGGTGTGTGCTCCCTTCCATCATGTTCGATTCAGTACTTCCAACTCTGTGTCAAAGCATAGGTGCTTCCCCTTTACACACTATTTAAGCATGGCCTTGCCTGTTAACACTTGGGGGAGGAAATGAACATTATTGCCTTCTAAATCTTGCAGCCAAAATCTAGGAGTTATAGCCTAATTCATTTATATAGAGCTGTCCTAAAATCTACATTGAAATGGTCTTTAATTCGAGACGAAGCATTAATTATAAGGATTAATACCTCTGTTTGCTCTATTCCCTTATACTTGCTAAATGACTAATGCATTGGATTTCACATTGGAAACCTCTGTAAAGCTTTTTGGATATCCTGCATCTTTAGCTATTATTCCAACTCTGCAACTGCTCGTGTCACTTTGCTAGTTACTCATTTTCTCAATTATTTTGGGCATGTGGCAATGGAACACGAAGGCTAATCTGAAACTGTTTTTTTTTTTTTGTTTTTTTTTTAAATGGTTGTTCTGGCTAAGGGGTAGGTTTTGCAAAGGAAGATATGATTTAAAAAAAAGACTATATTTAGGTAATAAAATATATATATATAATATTAGTAATTTTTGTTTTTATTTTTATTAGAATGTATTTAACATGGTGGTGGAGGTTCCTCGTTGGACAAATGCTAAAATGGAGGTAACTGATATTTATTTTGGTGGTGTGTATGTAGTTGTTGTTGTTGTTGTTGTTGTTGTTGTTTTATTTATTAATTTATTTTATGCCTAAGCCCATCTGTGTACATCTATCTGGCTTTGTCTGTTTATGATAATTGTTGGAGCGTTTGTGTGTAATATATCCCATTTCCTCTCTAGATTGCAACTAAGGAACCTTTAAATCCCATCAAACAAGATGTTAAGAAAGGAAAACTAAGATATGTAGCAAATATCTTCCCGCATAAAGGATATATATGGAATTATGGTGCACTTCCCCAGGTTAGAAATGTTTACATTGTTTTCAAGTGTTAATACATTTGGTGTTTCTACTTTGTTTTCATATTCTTGGTTTTTCAACGTGTGTGTGTGTGTGTGTGTATATGTGTGTATGTGTATATATATTTATATTATATGATATGATATCTTACCGGACTTAAAAACAAAAAAAATTATCGAATTTATATTAAAAATCGACCAACGTTTTAGTCCCCGTTCTGGACTTTCTTCAGGGTCTGAATAACTGGACAACTAATATTGTGTATACAGGCAAACATTATATAGTCATATATATATATATAATTCGTAAAGAAACTCACCCAGGTGTCTCTCACCTGCCATCCATCGGGACCATTGCGGCTTCCGGATGTGTGTGTGTGTGTGTGTGCGCGCCCCGCCCACCATGCCAGTGACGGTACGTGTTGGCGTGGTGGATGTGTATTGCTCCCAATCACCATGGTGACCATGTAAACAAAGCCCCCTCCAATGTGAATCAGACTTAGAGATAAGGTGGATACTTGGTGATAATAATATTATGCTAAACCAAGTATATTAGTAGGACAGATGAAACATCATGAATTCAAGTGCAATTGTGTATACTAGAAACATGATGCAAATTCCATGTTTAAAGTGACAATTGTAAGTGATATACAAATCGAAAAATCATTTGAGTTGGTATAGTGAGGATTCATTCACAAAGGGATGTAAATAACCCTCTTAAATGTGGATTCAGTGACTGTAAAGTGCTGCCATGCAATATAATAATAAAGTGCTGTGCTGTTTTTTGAATATGTTCATATGAACAAAGCTGCAGAGACATTTGACTGTCAGCCATTACATTAATGATCTACCATAATCGTCATTTAGCTTAAATGAGTAATTATCTGGTTCTTTCTGTATTGATTGCAGAACAGTGATTTAAACGGACGCTATAGTCACCAGAACAACTTTAGCTTAAACAGTTTTTGTGTATAAATCATGCCTCTGAAGTTTCACTGCTACATTCTTTGCCATTTAGGAGTTGTGACAAATTGAGCCTCATCACGTGTTCTTGGAGAGGCCTGCTTGTCAGCCTCTTACCTCAGGACTATGGGCCAGGTCAGCGACTATAAAGACCCATATTTTATTTCCCCCGGTTCGGCACTTTACATAGTACTGAACGCTAGCTCACTGGCAGCTGTTCGCATAGACCAAAACCGCGAATAGACTTTAGGGGGACTCAGCCGCGAATGTCCTGGAACTATTTTCAGCGTGAAAACTTTGGGGTTCCCGGTCGGTTCCCCAGCAGCACTTAGCCGCGATGCTATGGATCTGTTTTGGGCATGGGACCCTGCGTATGGTCAACCATAACTGGGGGAGAGGGCGAAGTTTCACAGCGGAGCTGAATGGTCGCACTTCAACAGAGCTCCGGGCATAACACACTATTAAAGCCTTCAAATCTGGCACTATACCTCGACTGTGGCCACAAAAACCACAGGCACAAGGTGACAAAGGCACGATAGGTCGAAAGACAATAATACAAAAGCCAAACTAGCCCCGCATGGTACTTAATATTGGTGACCTCCTGCGGCAGGCACAAGTTTGAACTAGGCCCATGACGAGCGACTACCCAGAAACCTATTCTCACCTTTCTGATGACTTGTCGTTGGGGTGACTAGGCTAGGGCTTCCAGCCCCAGACACTTCGCCAGTGACATCTGTATTGAAGGCACTACAGGCTGACCTGCAGGCTACCATTTTGGCAGACACAAAGATAAAGCACCGCGCTTGCAGTAGCTTAGTATCCAACAGCTTAAAATACATAGTAAAAACAAAGAACGTTACCTGCGCTCTGGCCTAAATCCCCATGTACATTTTAAACAAAATGGAGGCTCTTTTGTTTTATTCCAATGACCATTTGAATATATAAGCTCACCTGCCACGTCAAGGCAAGCCTCAGTAGGTGAGTTCCTACACTAGCCATTCGAGCCTCCATTTTGTTTAAGTGTACATGGGGATTTAGGCCAGAGCGCAGGTAACATTCTCTTTGTTTTTACCATTTTGGCAGACCCTGCCTCCCTGAGATCCCACATAAAGGGCTTAACAGGCAGGCTGGTGACGGTAGAAACTACCTCGGGGGAACACACCCGGAGTCTGGACTCCATGCAGCAGGAAATCCTAGAGCTTAGAAAGCAACAAGAGGTGCAGGACAGGAAGCTAGCGGTTATGGAAGACTTAAGGTGCAAATCCCACATAAAGATCCGGGGAGTCTAAGAAGAAGTGCCAACGGCAGAACTACCACATATGATGAGAAGACTCTTGGGAGCCCTGCTACCCGCACGCCAAGCTAAAACTGTAGGACTGGAGTGCTGCTTTTGCATCCCCAAACCAAAGCGTGCCCCTGCTGCGGCTCTGAGGGACCTGGTGGTCCAACTAACCAACACCAGAGACAAAGCAGCAATACTAGCGGCAGTTTGAGAAAAAGCCCCATACCCATTTGAAGGTCAGGCACTTACCTTTATCAACGACATCTCAGGAAGCACGATGGTGTTGAGACAATCACTGAAACAGTTCACGACTCTCCTTCGGAGCCGCGACTTGCCATACAGGTGGTGCCTGAACCGCACGTTGGTTCTCCATGGAGTGTCTCAGCACACCATGCACAATGTAGCGGAAGCATCGGCCCTTCTGGAGGCCCTGGGGCTCCCGCAGGACTCCCTAACATTAGAGATGACCTAGGCAGCACCACCTACCACGCACTGCTGGGATACGGCTGGAGCGACTCCCTTTGTCCCGAGACAGCCTGCACAAGGAGCGTATGCTGCGGTTAACACCTGAAACCGAACTTGGGACTTTGCTTTCTCATATTTTGAGAGAGTTTTTATGAAGTTATATCATTTCACCTCACCTAGTTCTTTCGTTTTTGAGTTACAGTTTAGATCACTCTCAGTGCTAGCCTGTGTGTGTGTGTGTGTGTGTGTGTGTGTATGTGTGTGTGTGTGTGTGTGTGTGTATATATATACACACAAACAAACATATACTCGACCACCACATAAAATTCAGTTCACTGTAGGTCTGATGCTCATAACCTTTTACCTAATCAACTGTTTGTTCAAACCTATGATATCATACATATTGCGTTTTTCCTTGTCATGTAAGTGTATATATGCGAATTGCACAAAAATAAAGGGGGGTGTGTGTTTTTTTTTATTTATTTTTTATTTATTTTTTTTTATTTATTTTTTTTTGTCACATCCCCAGATAGCCCTGACCTGAATGACCAAAATATCCATCACGAAAATATCGCCATCACGGGGGAAGTTTTGACTGGCCTGCCCAAAATAGTTCCGGGGAAATTGTGGCAATGGCCGGGCTCCGTTTGTGGGGTTGTGTACGAAAACCACATAAGGTATACGAAAGATTATACTTGTAGAATGCTCCCCTTGTTCGGTAGTTAATAACTCCCAAACGCTGTTCGTGTAGATGGTCGGGAACTTGAACGGCCAGCAGGTCTATCTTCACCGACGTTCGCGGGAAAACCTAGCCGAAAACCGTTCTAGGCACTCGACGACCAGATCCCGCTGCCTGCGTTCGGGAGACAAGATGGCCACCATCCATTGTCTTAACCATGTGCTTTTGGTCGCACGAAATGGCAGCCACCCAGTGGAGCATTCTATTGTTTCCTTTGCGGTTTTCGTACACCAAATATAACGAATGTAAATTCACAAAATGAGCCGAAACAAATGATGAGGCAATTCCTTCAGAGAGTACTTTTTTTTTACTTTCCTTTTTAAAGGGAAATTATTTGCTTAAAGGCTTACAATCCCTTTTGTCACTTACCTGATCCAGCACCGATGTTCCTCGGTGCTGGGTCCGTCTCCGCTGCCACTCCCTTATGGATGTCCTCGTGCAACACGTCATGATGTCCAGCATCAATTTAGCAGACCAAAAGTCTGCTACGGCCCCGGAAGCGCCTCTAGTGACTGTCTTCTTGACCTCTACAGGGCTAACTCCACCTCTAAAGTAATTATTGCAGTTTATCAATAAGATTAAGTGGTCTGGGTCCCTATAGTGTCCCTTTTAATATGTAGATGTTAGATCAGTATCTAAGAGTATTGACTCAAAGAAACACTATAGCAGGGCTCAACTAATCCCAGGTCGCCACGTCGACTAGAAATTTTGTCTTGGCAGCGTAGGAGGTGGTGCGTGAGGAAGCAGTTATCCTGCAGCTCCTCTCTGCTCCCTCATGCGGTTTAGTGATGTCGGAAGCCAAAATAGAAGTCACTCAGGCCCCAACATCACTACAGGGAGCAGAGAGGAACTGCTGGTAGAGAAGTGGGCAGCCCCACTGGACCACAGGGAAAGCAACTCTGCTCTCCCATAGGTAGGGAGGCTGGGTGGACATAAACAATATAACATTTTTATTTTCATTTTTGTGAAAATGTATGTCATGTGTCAATGTGAATGTGTTTGTCTGACAGTGTGTCTGTTTATGTACCTGCCCACCTCCGATCGCACAGGAAAGGTGTTTTTACTCACCTTTTTTCCCATGCCATGCTGGTTTCGCTGTGGCTGGTCCCGCCTCCATGGCTCAGATTATCAATCTTTATGATCTCAGCTAAGTCAATGTTTTCCTATAGGAAAGCTTCAGGAGAATATGACGCATGTGCAGCATCTCCTCATAGGGAGGCATTGAATCAATGCATCTCTATGGGGAACATTTAGCGCCTCAGTGCGTCAGATTAGCGTCTAGGAATCGCTTCTACTGGCCGTCTGAGTGACTGCCATTAGAGGTGTCTCAAGGCAGCAATGTAAACCCTGTCTTTTCTCTGAAAAGGTAGTGTTTTCAATGAAAAGCCTTCAGTGACATGCTACATACACCAGAACAACTGCATTAAGCTGCAGTGTTTCTGGTGACTATAGCATCCCTTTAATAATTGCATTTTTATAGTGCAAAAAGAAACTTTATTATATTTTTTTTATTTTAAATTAACAGTCTCCTAACTTTTTTATTTTTTATTTTTTTAAAGCTGACTCCTAGATGCCAAACAAATTTGTCAAGCCCTGCACTATAGCATTAGGAATACAAACCTGTATTCTTGGCACTACAGCATTATATGATCTATTTCGATTACTGCCCAACCCCCTGTTTATTATAAATAATTAACTCCCCTATTAGCCAATGCTGTGCTGTCTGCGTGCTATTATCCGGCCTCCCTGGCTGAGAGGGAAGCCATATCACCATGCCCCCCCTGCTACCCAGTTTATTTAAAAAAAGAAAAAAAAAAAAAAAGTTATTTTATGTACTTATTTGTCTTTGCCTTGGTCACTCCCGACCCCACGCCCTGTCCCCTTACTGGCTGAGTTTAACAATCCTAATGATCTCTGCATACCTAGTGTTTTCCCATAGGGATGCATGTGGGAGGCATTAGTGTCCATGCACCAATCAACATCTCCTAATAGAGATTCATTGGGGAGCGTTTGGTGTCTCCATGTAGAGTCCTGGTGTCTGTCCAAGTGCTTGTTAACTAGCTATGCTCTTAAAGGAACACTAGAGTGGAACACTAGTGTCAGGAATACTAACCAATTAGTCTCAGCCAATCCAGTGCTTTCACATAGGGAAGCATTGGGAGGCTAATGCATGCACGCACCTCAAAATGCTGCATTGCGCCAATCGGCATTTCCTCATAGATGCATTGAATCAATGCATCTCTATGAGGAACATTCAGTTGCAGAGCGTGAAGACTCTGAACGTCAGTGCATCATATTGTGCAGAAAAGTAATAAACTCAAAGCACACATTTCAAAGAAAAGATTTAATTCAATAAAAAAGATAAAATACACCCATAAATATGAAGTGTGTATGTGTGTGTGATATATATATTTATTCTGAAACCAATCCTGCAGCATATTGTGAAGCACCTCTTGTGGTTGTCTGAGTGACTGCCACTAGATGTGTCCCTAGGCAGCAATGTAAACTCTGCCCTTTTCTCTGAAAAGGCAGTGTGAACATTAAAATACCTGCAAGGACATACGATACAAACCAGAACTACATTAAGCTGTAGTTGCTTATGTGACTATAGTGTTTCTTTATACAGCAATATAAACCCTGCCATTTTTCATACTTGGCAGCGTCTACAATTCTAAACTATCATGGACAGGCTTTTTGCTGGTGCCTATAGAGTCCCTTCTAAGATTTTCACCTTTTCCTTATAACTAGTTTCGTTTTTTTTTTGTTTTTTTTTTTTCAGACCTGGGAAGATCCTAAGCACAAAGATGAAAGTACAAAGTGTTGTGGAGATAACGATCCAATTGATGTCTGTGAAATTGGCTCAAAGGTAACATCTTTACCTCTCAATATGAGTTGCAAGAGGTCAAATTTAGTTTGCTGTGTTTTATTTTAAAATATACCAGTTATCTAATTTTAGTCTGCAGCATTTACAAAAAGACATAGGAAGGTAAGAAACATACTTTTTTTCCTTTTTTTTTTTTTCCTTGTGTTGTAAAATGGTTTCTACTATTTTGAATATATTTAGCGAATTATTTTATACAAAACCAAATGTTTGGGGTGACATTCACTCTTAACTCCACAGCAGAAAGGACTCTGGTAAAACATTTTTTTTTTTTTTTTTATAATTCTTTATTTTTGCAACGGTATGGAGTAGACCATGCATAAGGTTTGGCTCGTGCAAGAGCGTTTCAAAAGTACATACACATGTCAGGTACATATGAGGATTTTTAACATCTCTACTTTCATCCGTTGTGGTTGTTGGTATTATTGTTTCAACAAGAACATTGTGTATAGAAAAATAAAATAACTGAACTGTGGGCCGGGATACCGGTCATCTCGGTCCAAACGGTCATGGGTTGGGTGGGGGGAGAGAAGTTGAGGTAGGTTGGGGGGGGGGGCAAGGGTGCAGTCCATCGTTAGCGTTTGCGACTCCTTTCTGCTACATGGTCTTTATTGGTCTTACTGGTCATTATAGGTCTCCCACGGTTCCCACGTCTTAGTAAAAGCTTTGGCTGTGCCCCTAATTTGGGCCGTGAGTTTGTCCATTAAGTGGCATTCTTTGATTTTGTTAATCACTATTGCTACTGAGGGGGTGTCCTGCTGTAACCAGGTCTGGGCTAACGCTCTCCTGGCCGCTAAGGTTATTTTGTCAAACAGATGCTGGTTTGGTTTGGACCAATTCTCCTGAGGTCTGGCCAGTAGGAACGTCCAAGGGTTCAGTGTCACTGGCCTATCGAATATTTGGGTCATGAGGGTTCGAATGGCCGTCCAATAAATTTTAATCTTAGGGCAGTGCCACCACATATGGGTATATGTCCCTCTCTCCCCACAATTGCGCCAGCAGAGGTCTGTGGGTGTTTTTTTCATGTGATATAGCTGAACAGGGGTGGTATACCACCTGAACATCGTTTTGTAGGCCTGCTCTTGCATCGTGACGCAAATAGAAGTTTTAGCAGTGGCCTGCCATATGTCCTGCCAGTCTACCCCCTCTAATGTTTCCCCAAGGTCGGTTTCCCACTTGTCTGTGTAGTGGAGGGTGCCCCAGTCCCGTGTAGTGGAGCAGAGATGGGAGTACAAGAGGGAGATCAATCCCTTTTGGTAGCGCTCGGCCAGGCATATGTTTTCAAAGAATGTTGGTTTAGCTAGTGCAGCTCTTTTAACAGGTTCTTGGTAGCATAGTGTCTTAGCTGGAGGTACCTAAAGAAATCTGCGGGGGTTAGGGTTGTTCTGGTTTGTAATTCAGCGAAGGTGATTATGTCGTGACCTGTGTAGAGTTGATGAATTCTTTGTAGGTCTGCATTTTCCAGGCCTTTGAAATCTCTGGGTCTCATGCCTGGAATAAATGCCCTATTTCTGTATATGGGGGTAAGGGGGGAGGACGATGTTGTTAGTTCGTATTTTGTGGCATATTTGTCCCAGATGTGAATCGAATTTGTAATAGCTGGGCAGGTAGTCCTTAAAAGTGCTCTATGCTCTTTCGGGGTCCATATGTAAAACTGAGGGAGGTCCGATTTCATAATCAGGGATTCCAGGTCCACCCATCTCCTGGTGTCCGGAGGGGTGTGCCACATCGCTATTTGTGTCAAGTGGGCTGCAATGTAGTAGAAATGTATGTGTGGTAGGCCTAATCCCCCTCCGGGTTTGGGGCGATATAGAATATTACGGGCCACTCTGTGCCTTTTGTTGTGCCAGATAAAGCGGTCAATGGCCTGCTGTAGAGGCTTTAAGTCTTGTTTCGTTATGGGGATGGGTAGGGCCTGGAATAGAAAAAGGATACGCGGTAGGATGTTCATCTTTATTGAATGTATCCTGCCAATCCAGGATATGGGTTTATCCGCCCAGGTCTCCATGTCCGTTATGAGTTTAGTGATTAGCGGGGAGTAGTTAAGTTGGTGTAGTTTCGTGAGGTCTGCCGGCAGTTTTATGCCGAGGTAGGAGAGGTAGGTCGGTGCCATGCGTATGTGATAGTCTGACGTGATTTGGGTGGTCTCATTCTGCGCGAGTAGTATTGGGAGTGCGCTGGATTTCTCCATATTGACTTTGTAGCCTGATATTGTACTGTAGTTTTGCAAGAGGGGCATCAGCGCGCGCATGGAGCGGATGGGGTTAGTTAATGTGATGAGAACGTCGTCGGCGTATGCGGAGACCAGGAACTCTTGGTCTGTTATCTTTGCCCCCGTAATTTCGGGGTGTTCTCTGATCGCCTGTAAAAGGGGTTCGAGTGTTAGTGCAAAAAGTAACGGGGATAGGGGGCAGCCCTGTCTAGTTCCGTTATAGATGTTAAATCGTGGGCTGTTTGATCCGGTCAGCTGTATTTGGGCTGTCACGTCTGTGTATAGCGCCCGTACTGCCGTGATGAAGGTGGGGGGTATGTTTAAATGGCTTAGTAGTGTGAACATGTATGGCCAGTTCACCCTGTCGAACGCTTTTTCAGCGTCTAGGGACAGGGCAATCGCTGGTGTGTTGGTTGTAGTGAGTGTCCATATCACGTCTATGTTCCGTCTGGTATTTTCAAATAACTGCCTGCCGGGAATAAACCCGACCTGGTCTGCGTGGATGAGCCGCGTGAGATGCGGGTTCAGTCTTGTCGCTAATATTTTGGCAAAGATTTTACTATCATGGTTTATTAGTGATATGGGTCTATATGCTTCTGGTAGGGTGTGGTCCTTGTCTGGTTTGGGTAAGAGTATGATATGTGCCTGTGTCATGTCCTTGGTAGGAGGGGTTCCCTCGAGTAGTTCGCGGAATAAAGTCTCCATGTGTGGGAGTAGTATCTCACGAAAGGTTTTGTAGTAGCTCCCCTCGTAGCCATCAGGGCCCGGGGCTTTGTTGCTCTTCAAGGAGGATATGGCCATATTGATTTCGTCTGTGCTGATTGGGGCTGATAATTCTTCTATGGCTGCGGTGTGGAGTTTGGGTAGGTTGAGGCGCGCTAAGAATTCCGACGTCCTCTGGCAAGCTGTCTGAGTGTGCGTATGACTTTGGGGGGTGTGGTTGTATAGGGCTGCGTAATAGGAGGTAAAAATCTGCGCTATCTCTGTCGGTGTGGTTTTCATGGTGCCGTCGGGGGCTCGTATGGATGTAATGTGAGGACGTTGCGTTCTAGGGCGGAGTGTCCGAGCGAGTAGTGTGTCCATTTTATTCGATTTGTCGTAGTATGTCCGTTTAGTCCATGTTAGTGCTCGCGCTGTGTCATTTATTAGTAGCTGCCTGATAGCTAGGCGCGTGTCTAGTAGGTGTTGTAACGTTTGCGGATTCGGGTCTGTTTTGTGGCTCTGTTCCGCTTTACGAAGGGAGTCTAGAAGTTGGGTCAGTTTTTGGGTTTTCAATTTCTTTTTATGTGTCGCTATTTTGATAAGGTGTCCCCGAATGACGGCTTTGTGCGCTGCCCAAATTACAGTCATCGGGATATCTGGCGTTATATTTTCTGTGAAATATGTCTGTAGTTGTGTTTGTAGTTCAGTTACAACTAGTGGGTCTTGAAGGAGGGAGGTATTTAGCTTCCATGTCCACGGTGTTGGACTATATAGGCCTTCCAGATAGATGGCTATGTCTGCGTGATCTGACCAGGCTATAGTGCCTATTTCTGTTTTTTGGGTTTTAGTGAAGCCTATTTGGTTGGTCAGGAAGATGTCAATACGAGAGTAAGTGTCGTGGGGGGCAGAATAGTAGGTGTAATCTTTATGACTGGGGTGTTGTGCCCTCCACGCGTCTATGAGGCCCGTTTTACGTATGAAGTCGTTGAGTTGTTTGTCTTGTCCTCCTTTGCCGTGGGATCTGGATAGTCCCGGGCGGGAGCTTCTGTCTGCAGCTGGGGAAGGGGTGGCGTTGAGGTCGCCCCCCAGGATCACCACTCCATTGGGTAGTGACAGGACTTTATCTGCCAGTTGGTTCCAGAATTGCAGGGATGGGGTGTTGGGAGCGTAGATGTTGATTAGGTGTATGGTTTGTGTGTATATTTGGCCCGTCGCTATGAGGTATCTGCCCTCTGTGTCGTTGTCTATGTGAGTGAGGCGCATAGGGCATCGTTTATGGACGAGGATAGTTACCCCGTTTCGTTTTTGGAAGGCACGCGCTTCTGCTGCGACCCGGTAGGAATGGTCGCGAAGGGAGACCTGGGCGGATCTAGGTAAGTGTGTCTCCTGCAGGTACGCGATGTCCGGGTTAAGTCTTTTTAGCTCCCTAAAAAGTGTGCGTCTCTTGCGTGGTGAATTGAGGCCCTTAACATTTAGTGAGGATATCTTTAGTGCCATGTTGGTAGAGTGAAGATGGTTTTTGTGTTATCTAGCCGTGTGGGGCATGGCGTGGGGGGTGATCTACTCCCATCTCTGCTCCGCCTCCCCTCATTAGGAGTGGGGTTTCCGTGGGGCGATATAGTCATAGCAATTAGTGACCAGGGTGATGGTAAGGAGTGGGTTGGTCTGCAGTATGGAGACGTATAGGATGGCGTGCGAGGGGAAGATGGGGAAGGGAGGTAGGAAATCTGAGGGATGAACGTGTGAACCCGTCTGGTCTTATGCCTTGCCAGACTATGGGGGGGTACTTGGGTCCTTGCCTCCTTCAGGGCTCTTGCCGCCCGAGGGGTCTGGGTCATGAACCAAGTCACCGAGGGTGTCCCCTATACCGTAAGGGTTGCTATAGGTATGATATGCCAAGCGTCACTGTTTTGTGGAGCTTATTGTGGGTGCGAATTCCCCGGTTGCCGGGGCTGGGGATGTTAATTGAGGTGGAGGGGTAGGACCCTTTGGAGAAGGTCAGTAGTAAGTCCGTGTTCGAAGTGATAAGTTGGAGAGGAATGATGTAAGGAAAAGGTCCCGTCTCGTTGGGCTCTCAGAATTGTATACGGCCTATACCGGGTCTCATAGGATCCTTAAGGCATTCCCGGCCTGGGTTCCATATGTACCTGTATTCTAATGGCTGGGGTGTATAATGGGAGTTCGGGAGGTGGGAGCTATGGTCTATTTACCCCTCAGTCAGTGGTAGCGTATCGTCGCGCCCGTACTGATATTGCAGAAGTGGGGCCGTCTATATATGGAGCCTTGCTACTTCCGGTCTGCTCTGATCTCCCTCCTGGGCATCTCTGTTCGGGCTGACGTCTGCTCCCTTAACATATGCACTGATAATAATCATGTGAATTTAAGCAACAAGAAAAAGAAAAAAGGGGTGGGGGCAAGGGACAGGGGCTACATCAGTAAGCGTGAGTGTGGGCTATTAGCATACAGTTTGCATAACAATTAAACATTTGCATACAATTAAGTATAAACATCAGGTACTCTGGTGAAACATTAGGCTGTCCGTCTACGGTGTGTGGCTCTCCTTTCCAGCTGTATGTCTGGCCTAATGTGTTTCTAGTGTAACCCCTGTCTGTGCTAGAGTGCTTGTCCCGGATGTAGATCTCCGTCGTGTTAGTAAGTTGTGTGGGTGGTATTTCCCCTTTTCTTTTTTCCCTTTCTCCCTTTCCCCCCCTTCTCCTTTTTTTCTTTTTTTTATTTTTATTTTTTATTTTTATTTTTTGTTATGTTTCGGTAATAGGGATGGGTTTCTGTCTGTCAATCCTATTGTGTTCCAATTCTCTAAGTGTGTGTGAGCGGAGCTCGCGTGTGCTGTTTGTGCCCCACAACCTATTTATATGAGTCCAAAAATACATTACAGTTCCGATGAGAGATGTCGGGGGCCGCCGTGGCAGACGCATGGCCGGCCATCAGTCTATTCGTGTCTTTTGCAGGTCGGTGTAGCGGCCTTGTTGTTGCAGCTGGAAATGTTTGTCCCTAGTCCTGGTTCTGATGTGGTTGGCGGGTGGTCTCCTAGCAGTTGCTGAGCTCAGCGCTGCGCCTTGACAGGTTGCGAAATGTTCTCCGGTGGCGTCTTGCTTGGTGCGTTCTGAGTCCTGAGAGTCCCTGGTGAAGTTGTCTTGAAAGAGAGCGGGTGAATAAAACGTTGTGGGTGGCAGCTAGGGTGAGTTTTTTTTTTTTTGTTGTTTGTTTGGGTTTTGCTTTGCTGTTCGTTTGTGTTTTATTGGCCCGCGGCCATATGCCAGTCTCTCGGCAGGGTGCGGAGTGCCGGGAGCGCGGTCGTAGGCAATCTGAGGTCGTTGGGGGGCGCTATTCCCAGTTCGCGTAGAAACGGTATAGGATTTGCTCCTGGCAGGAGAACATGAGGCCTACCCTGCTTGAAGACCATCAATTTGAAGGGGTGGCCCCACGCATATCGCACCGAGTTGTTTCGGAGCAGCTCCGTGACTGGACACCACTCACGCCTGCGCTGGAGCGTGACGGGGGCCAGGTCCTGGAATAAGGTGAGCGCTGTGTTCTTGTAGGTGATCGGGGTGTCTCGGGCCCTCCTGAGTACTGCCTCTTTTGTTCGGTAGTGTAAGAAGCGCACTATGACGTCTCTGGGTCTTGCTGTGTCTTCCCGTCGGGCACGGAGGGCTCTATGTGCCCTGTCCAGATGCCAGTGTTCTTCTGGGACGTCTGGGAGGAGAGGCTTGAGGATGGCAAGTATTGTTGCTGCGAGTGGGCCCTCGTCAGGCTGCTCAGGCAGGCCTCTTACCCGTATATTGTTGCGGCGCGTGCGATTTGCCAGGTCCTCTAGGGCCGCTTCTGTTGCTTCTACACGCGCGGTTAGCATGTTAATATGGTTTGTTGCCGTATTATGTGCCTCCACTGTAGCCTCCACCCGCTGCTCCAGCTCTGTCGTCCGCGCCCCCAGCGAGTGAATTTCCGCCATTACCGCTTTGGAGCTGCGTTCTATCTCCCGGGCCAGAAATGTTTTCATTGCCGCCATCTCTGTGAGGATATGCGCCGTCTCCGGTGCTGGGGACTGTGGCATCTGGGGTGTGCCAGCGTCTGTGGGGGTGGTTGAGACCCGCGGGTCGTTTTCGGCGCCATCTTGGGCCTCGTGGCGGCTATGTCGCGATGCCGCAAATAGATCTCGCACGGTAGCTGCTGCATCGGCGGCTTTTTTGGGCTGCTTCCTGGGTGTCCTCCTGTCCATCCTCAATGGTGGGTGCAAGTATAGAGGGCGAATTCGCGGTTTCGTGGCTTTTGTTAGCTTGCGGTATCGGGGTCGGTGAGGAGCGCTAGTGACTCGCGTCCATCTTGGTTCCCGGTCAAGCCCCGCCTCCGGTAAAACATTTTAAGGTCACCTGCAGTACAGATCATGGAATTCAGTGTTCTCTTTTCATTGACACTCAATAGTCTTATCATGTGTATTCTAAACAATTAACTACATTTTTTAAAGGGACAATTTAGTCACTGTAACTGCTTCTCATTGAAATTAATAATAATTGAAGTGTCTGTAGTCCCCTGATGTCATCTTTTTATTAATTGTTAAATCATTTTAAATGTTTTAATGCTATACAAATGTTCCCAGTAGCTCAGCCCCTCTCTGCTACCGTATTCATGCCTTTACTGGCATGACAGCTAGCATTTCTGGAATATCTACTCAAGAATACCTGTCCTACTTATTGTATTTATCTATTTCTTAGTCTTCAACTGTTTTCCTATTCACCTCCCCCCCTACAGTATTACTGTTTAATTGAAAACTATTGTACCTTCCATGCTAAACTTTTGCTCTGCTAAAGGAACACTTTAGTCTCACTCTCACTTCTCTAATTGCCAAAATCTCTCTATCCTTCTGCTGACACCATCTTAATAGCTCCCACTATACTTCCCTCCTCTCTCTGTTTAACCCATGCACTTTACTCATACTTACTCAGCCACCAACTCCTTCTAAATCTTCCAAATACAAGCTGTCACACCAAGTCCCAGCTGTCACTCAGTAGGGTTTTATTTTTAAAATATATTTGTACGTGTTTAAAAAGGAACCGTTTTAAAATCCCACCCACCCAATACATTCCGTAATATTTTGCTATATTGTACTGTTGGACTTAAATAAATTGCATTGTGTTATAAAAACTTGTGAAGTTCATTTACAGTGCATGGATAATAAAAATAAATATATAAACACACAGATGTTTGTTCCATCTTTGGTGCTGTCAATCTCTTCTTGTTTCTGTATACGCTTCCTGTGTATAGGAATAGCCGCATTCATTATGTTTCAAATGAGCCATCATCTAGTTATCACTAGTGGCTTGAAACCGTTATTGCACTGTATATGACAGTTTTGTGTGTTTGTGTGCTTTTTTTATTATTGCCATTTATATAGCGCCAACAGATTCCGCAGCGCTTTATAATCTATGATAAATTTTGTGTGTATATGAAACAATGGCTAATTTTACTTTTAGTCAGCGGTTACTGACCTTTTTAATGTTTTGTTTGATCTCTTGCATCACACTGCTGAGTCTCTATGGTCTGTGACTGGGTCGTTTGTTCGCTTAGAGACCAAACTAGTTTGTATCACAAAAAAGATACACAAAATAAAAAATACCTGCTTGCTAAAGGGACATTTAGACATTTTAGCAGGACATTTTGTTTTTATTTTATATAGATCTTGGGGTATTCTAAACTGTGAAGTTTATTGACTTCAGTGACAATTGTTGGGAATTCAAATTGCATTTAAAATTTTAGAGAAAAATAGCCAATCTGGAAGCGTTTTGAATTTGAAATTTTATTAGAATTTCCAGCAATTTTCACTTTAGTATATAATCCTGTTAATGTCATACTTCAGAGTTAGCCCAGTCGTTTTAACAGTATACTGGATACTTGCCATCAAGCCTTTTAAATCACCACGGCTGATTGTCCATAGAAAACGAGCAACCCAGCAGCAGTGGTAGGAGCTGGGCTGTGCCTGCTGCTCAGCATCGATCACATGGATGGGGAGGGACGGCGTGCAAGAGTGTAACATGAGAGGGAAATCTCATGCTGCAATTGCACAGTAGAGGGTGCTCTGTACTGAACTTGGAAATTGCTCTACTGACATCTCTCTGGGTTTGGGCAGGGATAAGGTTAATGTTGGTTAAGGGTCAATTCTAAGTGAACGTTTTTATTCATACTTTAATATGTGTTCGTTATATTTTAAAGGATATGGGGGGGAATCCCTCTCTGTCTTTAAAGGGCCACTATAGGCACCCAGACCACTTCAGCTTAAAGGAACACTATAGTCACCTAAATTACTTTAGCTAAATAAAGCAGTTTTAGTGTACAGATCATTCCCCTGAAATTTCACTGCTCAATTCACTGTCATTTAGAAAAGGCAATATGTAAAAGAACAAATTGTAGATTTTTGGTTCAGAATTTGGACTTCTGTCTTTAAGGGGTTAAATTCTTCAAGTGAATTTAGCATTGCATATTGTAGATGATTCAAAAATAACAATGCCATTGCCTAGTTTACTGTAGGTTTTTGTTACAGGAAAGCCATGGTAACATTTACATTGTGACCTGACATATTACATGTCTGCTATAGGTTTGCTCAAGAGGAGAAGTTATTATTGTGAAACCCCTTGGAGTTTTGGGCTTAATAGATGAAGGAGAGATGGACTGGAAAGTCATTGCAATTAATATTGATGACCCAGAAGCAGATAAATTCAATGGTAAGTTTTATAGTTATGTTAATTGAAGTCAAATGGCTTACAGCATTTTTTTTTTTTTCTCTCTCCCCTTTGGAATACTGCTGAGCAAATATGACCATAATCTAGAAGGCACTGGCCTGCTGAAAATGTTCAGATGCCTTGTATGTATGGTAGGCAATATATAATATAAATCGAGACCACACAATAACCACAAACAACATTTAATTACTTTTCAATGGGCTTGGTTCACTTTTAACTTTATTAACCACCAAATAGCCAGTCAGTCATAACTGACCTGACCGCCTTTTATTTAAAACAATTTACCACCATATACTTCCCCAAAACATGACCCTGAGGATGACTTTTGCCCCACTGCCTCAACTGTGGTAAACCCTACCCCATCTGAGGTCTTCCCCAGCCAAGGCCCTTCCATTATGTTTTGTAACGCCAATATTTGCCAGATAAACCGGAACCTTACTATATAGGTTTACATATATAAAATCATTAAAGCAGTAAGAAGAGATTTAAGAAATTTCTACACTACTCCCTATTCTATAGCTGGAGCTGGCCATCTTGCTCTCTGATCAAACTAAAATGGTTACAGGAAATAATTCCTTAATGATCCAAGAACTCAAACCGTGCAATAAACAGACTTAACTAAACCTACACTGTGACCACTATGTGAATGGTTAAACTGCTGTATCTGGCCATGTAGAACAATCCAACCTAATGACCATAATTCCAAAATCTCAGATCAACTATACATTGCCCTGATTAAGTTTAGGTTACGTCTGTATATTCTGGCTCTTGCTCTTTGCATGGCCTGCCAGACCCCTTGAGTGACCTAGAATCCAAATTTTTTTTTTATGGTACCTGCTAATAAAAGAATGACAAGAGGAAGAGACAAAATTTAAATCAAATCATCACACACGTATAACTGAAAACTAATCTGATTCCATCTCCCAATCTTCTTGAATGCATTGCACCAATCCAATATAGCTGCTTTGCCACAACCCGAACTCAAGAAAATCGCATGTTATTTACCATCACAACCAAGTATTCAAAGCGTAACTGTAATACCCACTGGATTTTAAATGTTTTAATGGACAATCTTAAAGGGACACTATAGTCACCTGAACAACTTCAGCTTAATGAGGTTGTTCAGGTGAGAACTATAGCTCCTTGCAGCCTTTCTCATGTAAACACTGTATTTTCTGAAAAAATACAGTGTTTACATTGAAAGCTAGGAACACCTCCAGTTGCAGTCACTCAGAATGCCACCAGAGGGACTAAAACTCCTCAATCAACTCAGATCTGCTGTCAGCAGAGCACAGGGCAGCATGCAGACACTGAACTTTCCTCATAGAGATTCATTGATTCAATTCATCTTTATGAGGAGATGCTGATTGGCCAGGGCTGTGTTTGAATCATGCTGGCTCTGCCCCGATCTGCCTCTTTGTCAGTCTCAGCCAATCCTATGGGGAAGCATTGTGATTGGATCAGACTACCACTTATGATGATGTCAGCAGACTGCTTGGGTTTTTTTTTTTTTTTTTTTTTTTAAGGCAAACAGCATGCAGAGTTACAGCTTCTGGCTTGAATAAAGTAAGATTTTTTACTATATTTATGGAGGCATGAGGGATGTTCAAGTTAATGAAACATTGTAGTTATTTATGGAGGCAACATAACTGTCACCCTGACACTTGAAATCTACTAAACAAAACTAACTAATTCTCAATTTAGTAAAGAAAGGCTACTAAAAATAAAAATACTTTTGAAATGAAAAATATAACATTCCCAAAACTTCAGGTAATATGCTAACATATAAGGGAAAGGACGCTTCACATCCTTTACCTACAAAATAACCCCTTAACAACTGTTTGATTATAAACACTTTCACTGTTAGCATATTTTATGTGGTTGGTAAAAATGATTATCTGTGCTATATAAAATGCTACCTGCACGAAGTACCTGAAGATAACATCCTTAGCATTATTTGAATATTAGTTCCGTATGAAAGCAACTTCGATATTACCACCAACTCTGTTAGCAAGGGTCAATTGATGGAACATTAGCTTATCGTAAGGTGTCCTATTCGAGTTCTTTCATAAGAAAAGAGCATTTTTCTGCAATTATTTGGAACCAAATGTCTGAATGTGCTAAGCTGAAAACAAAAATAGAATTAGCTATCCTGTTGTCAACTAGGAACATGTACTGCTTTCTGCCATCTATTAAGTTACCAGTATAAGAATATTAATTTTTCTAACCAATTAATCACAAACATTTTGAATGCAATAAACTGAAACCTTGTACCACTGACTTATTGTCACAGTGGAATAATATCCTTTTATTTTGGTGCTATAATCCGAAATTATAAACTGCTGACAGAATTGTCAGCAATTCTAACAGGCTCAGATTTTTGTAGGTACCTCTTACAACACACACTGTACAAAAACCCATCTTTGTTCCAAATATGTGAAAATTCAACTGCCCATGTTGCCTCCATAAATAACTACAATGTTTCATTAACTTGAACATCTGAATGCAACAAGGAGCAGCCATTGAAAACTTGCAAAATCTTTATCAAAACCTTTTATATCATTTTAAACTAGAAAAGCTACAATTTCTGGGGAAATTGTGTGAAGTGTTCTTGCCTCCACCAGTAGTCTACAACTGGAGTGGGCGGAGTAACTGTTATTTATTTATATAGCACATTTAATTGCAACGTTGTTGCCCAAAGTGCTTCACAGTTACATTAAAACATACATTTATAAAAACATTAGCAGGTGTTCAAAAGGCCCTGTCTATGACATCACTTGCTGCTGCAGCCTGACACAGGTCAGAGTATTTTGGCGGTTGCCATCTTCAAGCGGTCGTATTTTAAAAACTATAAATCCTACAGCGAAGAGCTTTATATTGTGAGAATCACAAGACCCAGACCTACATTTTGATGCATAGTATGTCTCTGAAATATTAAAAATGAAGGCACAGTCGCAGTTTAGAAATTGCCCTTCAAATTTGAGCTGGCTAGAGTGGAGTTTCAATGAATGTCAATGGACGGCGTGAGTTGCAAACAAATGGTCATATTGTGAAAACTATCTCGAGTATGGCTTAGGACATTTTTAGTGGCAGCAGGGGAAGCTGAACGTTTTGATATAAGATTTGTGTAGGTGGGCTTGAAAATGATGGAGTGGTGGCAGTTTTGAAATCATGACCTGATTTTTCAGCTATTGCCAGCTCCCACTCTATTTTCGAACATTTTTCCTATGGGACAAATTTCGCCACAAGAACAAGAACGCCACAAGAACGACAATATTCCGACAATATTCCATTTGGCGAAACGTTCCACAAAGTAATAGCAATCCAATCGGGAACAATCCGCACGTTTCGGTATATTACTGTCTATGTAGTGTAAAAACTGTGGGAGGAGTTAGTGTGGTAAATTTGGCAATAATAATTAATATATATAGTAGAACACAAGTGCAAGAACACTTAATTATACAGGCACGCTAACTGTAATAAACTTTAACTCGCAAGTTGGAGTAAACTTGAAATTAATAATAACAATAATACACTCCTTGCTTACGGCAATTCAATAATCTGTATTAATAGAGGCTAATCAAACAAATAAACAATACATACATTTGAAATAGGCTAGTATATGTTGCTACCAAAACTAGTCATTGATTGAATGGAAAGTAGACTAAATTAACAGAGTAAAACAGGCAGACATGTGATACAGTTACCACTCCATTGATCATCTGCTGAGAGAGGGAGGGTGTGCATAGTGGGTAGTAGTGTGCACCCTAAAGCACAAGCACACGCCGCATATATGTGTGTGTATGTATATGTGTGTGTGTGTGTGTGTGTGTGTGTGTGTGTGTGTGTATATATATGTATATGTATGTATGTATATGTGTGTGTGTGTGTGTGTGTGTATATATATATATATATATGTGTGTATATATATATATATAATGTTTGTGTGTGTGTATATATAATATAAATATTATACACACTGCTGTGTGTGAGGGTGCTGTTAGTGTGGTGTGTGTGTGTGTAACGGTGCTGGTAGTGTGCTATGTGGGTGAGGGTGTGTGTGCGCTTGTGAGGGTGCTGTTTGTGGGTGAGGGTACTGGTAGTGTGCTGTGTTTGTGAGGGTACTGGTAGTGTGCTGTGTGTGTCTGTCTGTGGGTGTTGTATGTGTGTGGGTGATTGGGGGGGGGTGGAGGTGGGGGTACATTACTTGCTGTCCCCCCTTCCTTCTTACCTTTTGTAGGGAGGGGGGATCGTGCTGCTGATAACATCCCTGGTGGTCCAGTGGAGAGTGAACTCTAGCCCCTGTAGGGCTAGAGTTCACTCTCGCGAGATTTGAGCGTTGCCGTGGCAACGCTCATATCTCGCAAGAGGAACCCGGCGGAGCTGCCGTCAAGAGCTCCGCCGGTCCTCTCCTGCCTCCCTCTCTGCATGTGGGTCTGTGGGGAGGGAGGCTGAGAGCAGAGCCGGCGCTCGGATAGCGCCGGCTCTGCATGAGCCGACGGGAGATCCTGAGACCTCCCCTGCCAGTCTCAATATGCATAGGCGTGCTGCGAGGATTAGGGTGTGCCCAAGCACACCTGGCACACCCCGTGTGTACGCCTATGGGTAGAGGGGGGGGGGGAGAGGAGAGAGATTCAAAAAAGAGAATGTGCTATTCACAGGGCTTTTAACAAGTTAGCCCTTCCTTCTGCTGGACACACCTCCCTCAGTCAATCCCTTAGAATGTAACAGAACCAGAGTGCCTCCTGGGGGAAGGGGGATTGCACTAGAAGGGAATGGAGGAGGAGTTTATCAACAACTTAACTGGTTTTGCCTGGTGAAAGGCCATGAGCTTCACAGAGGACTGTATTATTGCCTAAGGGTAGAATGGGACTTGAATCCCTGTATTAGAACACCAAAACACTTAATTGGCATACAGCTTGCCGGTTAATCAGTCCCCCCCCTCCCCCCCACTTATTACACTAACAAAACGCAGTTTTATCTTTGCACACGTCAAAAACACCCTTCTACCTAAACTCTTCTTACAGGTGAACTCAGACCTGTAAATGCTTACAAACCTAACTACGATTGAACTGTTTTAACAATCTGCGCTTACTATTTTATTTATCTATATACATACACATATATGTACAACTAGTCAATTTGTTTTCTAATATGCAGACATTGAAGATGTGAGAAAACACAAACCTGGCTATCTTGAGGCTACTGTTGACTGGCTCAAGTCATATAAAGTCCCTGACGGGAAGCCGGAAAATCAGTTTGGCTTTAATGGCGAGTTTAAAAACAAGGTACATTTCTTAATCTGTAGGTTTTGGTTGGACAAACTGTATGTTTTTTTTTGTTTAGTTTTTTCCACAAAAGATATTGCTAACCTGGCAGTTTGCTTGAATGCTAGAAGTGCAGAGAAGTGACCATTCCTTTTTACTTTCAGTCCAGTAGAGGTATTGCAGTCTTTATTTGGGTGACTAGGGAAGCGGTGATAAGAGGGGGAGGGGGGGTGGTTGTTGTTTGTTTGTTTTTGTTTTTTGTTTTTTTTTATTTCTTTTTTAAACCCTCTGCTTCACTTTTTGCAACCCATAATGCTTCATGCACTCGTTTGTCCACTTGAGCATCTAACATAAATTCTGTGGACATTCTTTTAGAAGTGTAACTTGCTGAATGTGCTGTGCATTCTACACTGCAACAGTTAACTAATTTAGATCGATTGCCTATTTTGGTTATGCTAAAAGTGAGGAAGTGCCAGTTCCTCTTTGAGATGATTTCTGTATCTTTCTATTACATGTGACAAAGTTAACTCACTGAAAACATTGCAGTCATTGCTGGGACATTATTTAATACAGTCTTATTAGGGATTTTCACATTGGCCTCTGGGCATACATTTAGAATTTGTGTTGTTGACTCAGCATTTTATGGATAATATAAATTTTAGTTTAAATATAATTTTAGTTAAATTATATAAATTCTGTTCTGATTATCCCTACCCTCAAAGTTATTTTATGGCCATGTTAAAAAATTAGATGGCCTGTCACATGCTTTCCTTTTTTACTTTTATTTATTTTTTGTACATAGGATTTTGCTATTGAAGTCATAAAGAATACGCACAGTTACTGGATAGATCTAGTTAATAAGTCAGACAAGACCGATATAGACTGGTAAGTTATATTTTATTTGGGAAGATATAATCTTTTTTTCATGTTTCAAAATGCCACAAACATGTCAGAGTAATGAACTGAATTCTGAAACTTTGTTCTTTCTGTTTGCATTCTCTTTGCGGGATTTAAAATTTTCAAAACCATCAAACCTTATTAGTATGATTCATGGTAGGGTCTATGCAGTTTTATATTCTGAAGCAATTATTTGGATTACCATATAACAATTGTTTTATGCGTTTAAAATCTAAATTTGCTTGTTTGTAATTCAGTGGTAAGCCCTCAACCCCAATCTTGAATATGTGAAAAGGTTGAAAAAAATGCTGCTGAGGTGAGCTACAAAATTAATAATGTGGGATGGAAACATTAAGAAGCAAGGCTAGAAAAATGGCAGCATTGTGGGTTGTATTTTTTTTTTTTCATCTGAGATGATCTGATGATTCTATACGAATATACATGGGTTAGTGCAAATTGTCATCTGGTAAGCTGTTTATTAGTAGGATTATATATGCACAGCAGGTGAGGTCATCTCTTAAGACTGGAAGAAAGGAGGTTTTTGCTTGCAGCAGACAAAAGGTTATTTACAATAAAAACTATACAGATGTGTTGTTCTCTACCCAAAGAGTTTGTATTATCTGATTGTGTAGATATTTGAAGGGGGGAGGGGGGAATGTCCCCACTAGATCTCAAGCTTAGGACCTGCACACCAAGGAACTTAACCCCTTAAGGACACATGTCGGAAATATTCTGTCACGATTCCCTTTTATTCCACAGGTTGTGTGGTGTTTTTCTTTGGATTAACTTTTTTTTTTTTTTTTTTTTTATAGGATCCCTCTGTAATAGTTAAAACGTGTTTGAGACTATAACAAAATTTATATTTTGTGTAATGTAAAGCTTTAAAAAAAAAATAAAAAATTGTTTTTATTTTATTTTAGTAAAAGTGTAACAGTTATTGACAGTCCCTTTTGCTGTAGTAAAGAGGAAGCCGAGTCGATTGTCAAGTCTGTAAGTACTCTGTAGAATTGTTAAACATGTTTGTTCCTAAAGGAAATCCCAGGAGTCTTTGCGCCTCAATTGGGATCATTTATGGTCTGTCCGTGAATGCTTTACAAAATTTGAAGGCAAAGTATTGCCCAGAAAACATGGTCATGTACAATTATTATTCGTATTATTAAAGCGGCACTGTCATGCTGAATCCTGGTTTGTTTGGTTTTTTTTTTGGTTTTTTTTAACCCCCCTCCGGCCTCCACTATCTCTGACACCCTAGTCACCCCCAAATGCCCCTAAGCCCCCCACATTACCTATTTTTTATTCCTTATTTTCTGCCCTGATCTTGATTCAGGGCTCCGCCATCTTTGTGTGGGTAGATGAAGTCCCTGTGGGACACGTCATCTGCCCACACTAGATAGCACTGTGAGATTCCCGCACATGCCCAGTTAAACACCTGGACATGCGAACGGGAATTTCATCCATTCATTCATCAGACAGACTAATGAATGAACAGAAAAATCAGATGAACAAACTAATACTGAGTATCAGTGTTCGTTTGTTCGTTCAGTTTATTACAAGGAGGGAGCTACCGGCACGCAGCTCCCTCCTTGTAATATGTTACTATAGAAGTGGCAGGGAGCAGTGCTCCCCACCACTTCATAAGCCCCCCAGGTCCCCCCTCACTCTATGGGGGTCCCCCATAATAGTACAAGGGAGATTAAAATCTCCCACATGCCCCTACTCGCTATACCGCGAGTAGGGGCATGTCCACTAAACAGTGAGCAGCCACAGGTTGTAAACAAAAAACACTATTGACCCCCCACCCCTAAACGACGGGTGGGGGCCCAAAAGTAAAATAAGGGGGGAGACCTATTGGCCCCGCCCCCACCCTTGTGCGGTGGGTGGGGGTCATAATGATAATGAGGGGGGAGGTAGGTCCCCCCCCCATTATCTTTATGGCCCCCACCTGCCACCGTGCATTTTTTTAGTTTTTCTTTTTTACAGTGAGCAGCCACAGGCTGCTGGCTGCTTACTAGACATGCCCCTACTCGTGGTCCAGGAGCTAAATGGTTCCTCTTTGTAGCTTGGTTTCTCCTATAGTAGATCATCCGTAAGGATTTATGTTCCAGTGCAAGCCAATGATTTTTATAGAGAAGCATTGAGATGCAGGGAGAATGCTTTACAATTGATGCACTACGCCTGCAATGCTTCTCATATGAGAAGCCTTCACAACCACTTTGTGCTGGGGTACAAGGCAGTGGTGAAGAGGGCTTTCTCAGCTGTCAACCAGATAGGGGTATTTTTATAAACCCTACAAACTCCCTTAATAGGGGTTCGTTGTATGAGTTCATAAGAGTACCCCTTTCTATCTCATTAGAAATGTTCCCTCTTCGAAATATAAATTATTAGTGTAGGAGTCTCCTACAAGGATTGGGAGGTACTAGGGACTTGAAATGAATAGGGCACAGGTACCTGTGGTGTGTGGTGGTTTTTTTTTTTTTTTTTTGTTCGTTTATGGATTTGGGCAGATGACTACAACAGCCTTTGCTGCTGCCTGGGAGTAGTGGGAATTTGAGTGCAGTGCTTTTTTTTCTGTGTTTTAAAAACAGAAATTGGCTAGAAGGTTGTTTGTTTGTTTTTTGTTTTTTTCTTTCCCCCACTTTTTCTTATTGCTACATCTGTTAAACCATAAATATTCTATTCATTCAAATAGCAATCTATAAATTTAATTTGTGTAAAAGAACTTTTTCATGCAAACATGCAAGTTCCATTTGAATATTCAGTCGTGCTGCATGTAATAGAGTGGTTGTTACCATCTTTTCAATCTTTAATCTGGTGTGTTGTACTGTACCATATCATTTCAATGCTGATGAATCGGAAATAATTGGATAGTAAAGAATTAAAGAATTGTTGCCGCAACATCCTCACCAAGTGTTAATAGAGAAGGTATATCTAAATTGCCCTGTGATTAAATGCATCATCCTACTATCCAAACACTAATGTATCTGTGTTACCATTGCAGGCACCATCAACTGGAAGTCAAAGTCCAATTCCCTCAGAAGGTAACCTATCAATAGTACATAGCTAAAACTTCCATTTTAGAAGGAGAGCTAATGTAATTTTGAACACCAGTCTCTCTTCATTTCTTTTCTATATTTTTAGGGTTTTTTTTTTGTTTTTTTGTTTTTTTTAACTCCAAATGTTTAGTGTGTCTGAGCTTATAACAAAGCAATGATTCTTCCCTTGTACTTTTAAACTAAATATGTGGTCACTGTGGGGAAAATAAATATCTTGGGCATGTTATAAACCACTTTTAAAGGGACACTATAGTCACCAAAACAACTACAACTTTATGTAGTTGTTCTAGTAAGTTTAGCATGTCCCTGCAGACTTTTTGCTGTAAACACAGCATTTTCAGAGAAAAGGCATTGTTTACATTGCTGCCTGTGGACACCTTCAGTGGCAGTCACTCAGATGGCCACTAGAGGTGCTTCCTGAGTGGTGCAGCACTGACCTTCAGTATCCCCACACTAATTGGCCAGAGCGGTGTTTGGCTCAGTCCCTGGCCTGGCCTCATTATCTGAAATCATCAGAATTGAAATGGCTTCCATGTGGCTTTCCTGTGGGAAAGCACTGGATTGGTTGATCCATTCTGATGATGTCAGCCAAGGAAGTGGATTAGGGGCTGGGCCAGCACCGACAGACCCGTGCGGCACTGGGATAAAGAAAAAAAAAAAAAAAAAAAAATTTAATTTTTTTCATCATCTCCATGGATCATCAGTCCTCAGCAAAACAAGAACCTCAATAGAATGAAATGAGATACAAATGGTGCAGGAAGCCAAAGAAATAAAATCAACAGCATATTATTATTTAAAAACCTATAAGGTTTCCTCTGAGGTTCTTTGAATAATGAAAATGAAGTCCTCCTTCAGTTTTATAGTATATAGTATACAGGTTCACCTTAACGTAAAACAAATTTTTTGATGGGCTTTAACTGATGAAATCAATCTAAAATATTATTTATATATATATATATATATATATATATATATATATATATATATATATATATAATATATATAAAATAAATTTTTTTTTTTTTTTCAATATATAACTTTCTAATTAACTTTTTTTCTCTTTCTTATTTTAGTTGATGTGTGGCACTTCCTTAAATCATGAACCATTGATGTAGTAATCTTGCCTACAAGATGCCATTCATTTATTTTAGTTTAAATATATATATATTTTTTTTTTCCGTTTCATTTGACATTGTGTAAATAAACACTTTCATTATGACCTTGTTTTAAATGGCACAATTAAATGGTTGTACCAAGTGCTTTTTTTAATCTATTTATTTATTAAATACCAAAATAATTTTGGACCTATACTTTACCAGGACCCTTTTTTTTTTTTTTTTTAAATATATTTAACAAAAATGTATAATTTTTGAAATGGTTTGTTTTTAATAGATATAATCTTAAGTGTACTGAAGTACAGATTGATACACAGTGGAGGTTTGGGAAGAAGAGGAAGGAGGAAAATTTGCCTCAGAATGCAAATACTTATTCTGCTAATAAACACAGTGTGGAATGTAGTGGGGTGTCTATTGGCACAGTACTGCAGGAATTGTGCAGGGACATAACTGTTTGGGTCCTCCATGACTGAGCTCCCTTTACCCGGGCTGGTTACCTCCACTAAGTTTGTTCCCTAGCTTGAACTGGGAAACCTGAAGCACTTCTGCCCCTGTTGCCAGCGCTTGACTGGGTCCTTCTGGAGCTTTTCCACCCGACCAGGCTGCAGCTCTCCTTCCAGGCCGGTATCATGCCCTTCTTCCAGGGCTGTATTGTCCCCTCTGCCTATTCGGCTGGAGCTCTGCTTGTAGTGCTTGCTATTGCCTTTACAAAGGCACTTGCGGCTCTCAGGCCTAGCTCTCTTGATTTATCCCAGTGCTAAAACAGGCCCGAAGACTCTGTCACCTGGGATGCCTACAGGACACAAGTTTCTAAAGTAGCTATAAAAAAAAAAAAAATATATATATATATATAAAGTGAAGGCAGATAGTATGCCTTTTAACCCCAGGGGAAGTACGTGTAGTTTGTGTGTTGCACAACACAAAGCTTTGTTTAGTTATGGGCCCCTGGGGTGGAGCATTTGGAGAGAAGGGTGGGCCAATGCTCCACTCCACAGTTTAGTGGTTTTCTGGGGAGACTTAGATCCAGGCCAGGGTTTTTTGGACCGTCTCCAACCCACTGCTCAGCTGCAGTTAATAAGCTGTTGCAGTGGGAATAAACCACTCCCTGCTAGGCAGGTAAAGGAGAGGGATTGCTGGCTTCCTCCCAGGAAGCAGGTAGGAGAGAGGCTGTTCTCTCCAGATAGAGTCAAGGAGACTAGGCACTCGGAGTGCAGAAAGGAAGCAGTCAAGGCTGGCTTGGAGCACTGGGAGTGCAGGAGGAAGCAGTCAGGGCAAGGCTGGCTTGGAGCACTGGGAGTGCATGAAGAAGCAGTCAAGGCTGGCTTGGAGCACTGGGAGTGCAGAAAGGAAAGCAGTCAGGGCAAGGCTGGCTTGGAGCACTGGGAGTGCAGAAAGGAAAGCAACAGGCTAGCTAGCAGAGTGTTGCTATCTAATAAGGTTGATGCAATATGTTTTTGTTAGTTTAACCCTGATAGAGAGGGATATACAAAGTGAGTCAGTGCTCAGACGAGCTAGGTTTTTGTTTAAAGGGAAACCTGTTATATTTATGTTTTCATTTGCTGCTGCCTCACATGTAAACTTACAAATAAAGTGCCTGGAATGAAGTTGCATTGAAAGACTGTGCATGTTTTTGCCCTAGAGGACCGTGCTACCTGCAGACAAAGATCACAATATATATATAATTTTTTTATTTTATTTTTATTTTTTTTAAACAGGGGACTAGCCCATATGATCATATATATTTTTTATATATATATCTATATCTGTGACAAGCATAATAAAATTAAAATAACAAAACATGTCACAACAAAATATACAGGAAATTACAATAGCATATTTATAAAGGGATGGGGAAGACCATAACCAGCACAAATAACTATCCTGCCTGCAGAATTGGCAATATGTAAATCTACTTGAATATGCAAATTGACTAGGTATAGGTAGTGCACATTACTGTTGCTACAACATGCTCCATAGTCAAAAGGTAGCAATCTGCAGTACAGGAGAGCAGGCAAAACACACACATTATAAACCCCTATAATGGGCACAGGGTGACTGAGAGATAGAAGCCATTTAGGAACTGTTGTAAAGTGTCCTCCTGCTCCTAGTGATGGTGACTGCCGTCACACCCTGAGTTGTTGGGACATGTATGTCTCAGTATTGCTCAAGGTTTGCGGCCTCTATAGTATGTTTAGTGGTGTCACCGGCAAGGGCTGTCATTGGGAGTAGGAGAACAATTGCCCCTAGGTCACGAGCATACTGGGTCCACTGTTCTGTTGATTGAAACAGGAAGTCTGCTGGGCTGGCAATTGGCACAGTACTTAATTAGAGACTGACCAGCAACAATTTGTGTAGTGACAGAACTGGAAAAAAAAACCTGTTTTGTTATGTTATTGAATTTGTATAGTGACATTGTGGTCATGATTACATTATCAGAGAAAACAATATTAGGTACACTTGCTTGTTGACGCAAACAAGGAGGTATGAAGCTGTACCTTCTAGAGATGATAATCGAGATGATTTGTGGTGGTGGGGGGGGTTAATTTTTGCAAATGACAAAGAGCTTCTCAAGTTGCGAATGATACACATACAAACACAAAAATTATACATTTTGCAGCTCCTTGAAGTCAGAAATATTAGGGGATCCTACACACAGAGTGTAAAGGAATAGTAACGTATACCGGACCTTCGAATGGCCGGACTAACGTCACAAGGCCAGAGAGCAATAATAAACAAGCAGAGGTCAGGGATACCAGAAATCCGGAACAACGATAATACAAGAGCCACGGTCAAAGGAATACAGAAGGTAGAATAGTCAAATAATGGCAAAAAATCAAAATCCAAGAGAACTATACGAAGAGGACCTGCTATTGGGATTATGCAGAACCACAACAGGGAAATGAGTCTTTCTCTGAGCTCCCCTTAAGTACTGTGTTCCTTGATTTGTAGCTACGGCCCCAAAGCACTTGAATTCGAACGTTTTGGCGGGCTGTGGCATCATTAGCGTCATGCCGTCGGTGCGCATGCACCACGTCATACAAAGGGGTGAGAATTGCTGGGAACAAGTGGAGAACTGTTGGGTATGTCCCTAATCCCCTTCAGCCTGTGCCAACACACAAGGTATCCTGACAATTGACACCCACACATGCCACACAGTACTGTGAGGTTTTTGTTGCTTTAAGGCTCTGCGTTTTCCACATATACACAAATTTTATAGACTTAGTTATTTGCAGTATGCATTAATGTGTTACTGTAATGTGCAGTCTTTACGTGTATCACAGAGCACAAAAAACCCACATGTACAAAGTAGATGAATGTATCATAGAGCTCTACAGTGATACAACTCATAGCAATGTGATGTATGTATGAATCACATGAGGGTGCCAAACAGTAGCCTGATATCATGTAGGTCCTCCCTTGTGCTGCTGAAATAGGTCTGACGCCTCTGAACTTCTCCTGTGGTATTTGACACCAAGACAGCAGCAGATCCATTAAGTCCTGCAAGTGGCAAGGTGGAGCTTCGATGGATCGGATTTGGTGTTCCAGCACACCCCACAGATACTCAATCTGAGATTATCATGTTCCTCAAACCATTACTGAACAATGTTTTCAGTGTCTATTGGCACAGTACTGCAGGAATTGTGCAGGGACATAACTGTTTGGGTCCAAGACTTGCCAGCTGTCCTCAGTGACTGAGCTCCCTTTACCCGGGCTGGTGCATTATGCTGCTGAAGGAGGCCACTGCCCTCAGGAACCACCATTGCCATAAGAGGTTATGTGGTCTACAGCAATCTCTAGGTGGGTGTTACAAGTTAACATCCACATGAATGCTAGGACCCTTCAGAACAATGCAAAAATGACACGCACTAGGTAAACCACTGTGTCTAAAAGAAAATGTGATTCATCAGACTAGGAAACCATAAAGCTTCATTGTCCAATTCTGATGCTCACATCCACATTTAAGGTGCTTTCAGCTGTGGACAGGGGTTATCATGGGCAGTTTGACTCTAAGCCCCATAAGCAGCAAACTGCAATGCATTGTGTGTTCTGACACCTTTCTCTCATGACCAGCATTAAAGGAACACTATAGTCACCAGAACTACAACTTATTGTACTTGTTCGGGTGAGAATCATTCCCTTCAGGCTTTTTGTTTCAATATTTTATTGAGTTTTAAGAAGTCAGGGGGAAGGGGTACAGAAGAGCAAGGGATGCACTGTACAGACATCGCAACAATACAACAATACCGGGTGTTAGTTCCTTCACCCATCCAAGTGGATCAAGTATATAATACACTTGTCTCCCTTTTCTCGTTTAACTTCATATATCATCAAGATATGGGAAACCTCAGGTATCGTCACTCGTATTTCAACTCCTTGGACGTTTCCTTCCTTTTTATGTCATTCCCGACCTCTAGCAATATGGGCTGGGGGGAACTAGGGAAAGGTTAGGGTTAGTTATGGGGAAAGTGTCGGTCCAGAGGTATATGTTGACGGCTCTGAGCCTCTAGGTCTTTAGTGAATTTTAATTCTGTTGTCACCAAGTGTCCCACTGGACCCATGCTTCCTGCCATGTCTCCCCCTTGGTTCTTAGGCGTCTTGCTTCTATCTCATATTGTTTTGTGGTATCTACCTCACTCAAACACTGCCCAATCTCTGGCGAGATTTCCCTGAGCCACATCCTTCCTATTGCCTCCAGGACTTCAATGATAATATGATACATGAGATGTAGAGTGGCTTTGGGAAGACCCCTCGGCAATGCCAATAGTAAGTATGTCTCTGGGCTGTGTGTAAGTTTCTTGCCTGCTACTGCCTGTATCGTGGTTGAAATGTAATTCCAGAACCCCGCAAGTCGTGGGCAATAATTCTTAGCTCCGACTTGTAGGTCTCAGATGTGCTATAGCTCTCCAGTTGCAATTTGCAGGTACTAAGCAAATATCCCAATAATAAAAAAAAATCTGTGTACTTGCTGATTGGGCAAGCACACTGGGCTTACTATACCTTGGAGCCCAGACCATGATATGAACGACTGCTGGGTAGAAATTGCGACTGTGTTAATCTGTTGTACACTAACCCCCTAAACTCTCACTTCTAATAAGAATTTAGTATTTATCAGATGTAATGTTTTCCTAACAAGATCGACTCTCCTAGAATGAAGTTAAATGCTGTTATCTGGAGAAAAATAACACCAAGAAAACCTTGTATTTGATATTACCTGCTTAAACGAATTCCCTATTTTAAAATGGTTACCATTGTCTTTACAATTTTATCATGTGTGGCAGATCACCTTGTATTTCTTGGGACGAAGTATCTGGAGGTTACAAATTTTACTTCGTTAGGGAGTTATTTTGCCTGCTTCTACCTGCTTCAACTCCCAAACGTGAACTCTACGTTCCTTACATATATACCGAACACCGCTCTTGCTTGTTTTTTTTTGTTTGTTTTTTTTAAATTCTTTATTTTTGCGTGTAAGGGAGTACACATGAGTAGTCATTGCCATAACAGTATTAATAGGCAGTACATTGTCGTGTGACATGAAACATCAATATGACAAGCGACGAGATGGCACATTTTTTTTAACGTTATAACAGGAGAAACATAGTATACTTATCCGGCTGTGATACAGTACTAGTAGTAGTCGGAGGTTGGGTAACAGAATGCTCAGACAAACTGTAAATGTGCTGGTCGGTTAATTAATTAAAGGTGCAGCATCCATGAGTGCCACCAGGCTGATACTAGCTATGTTTTCCCTTTTTCTCTTTTTTTTTTTTTCTAATCCTTTACTGTGTTTGTGCATTAATAGGTACATGCTTGCAACGCCACATTAGCGGGTACAGGCAATTTGAAAAACAAACATCGTTGCAACAATTGTGTGACAGTCATGGATGAGCACACCTTAGTATATTTTATAGGACAAGCTGTGTACAGGCTGACTACATGTGTCGATCGTGGTGTAATCAGGTTTGTGTCAATGGACCTGTAGTGTTTTCTGAGTGCTTGCGTGGGGCTATGTGTAGGCTACCCAGCCTCATCTGTCAGGATGGGCGTCTTGGTGTGGTATTTCTGGGCTTAAGGGAGCATATGTTTTTGCATATGGGTTGAATTTGGCCCCAGCTGCTTTACTACAAGAGGTGTCACTTTGCTGGAGCGTGCATACGACTACCCTGCGAAGTGTGCTAGTATTTGCCGGAGTGGCTCGGTGCTGGTGGTGGTGTACATGGGGTACGTCCTCGGGGTTACTGAGCGTGTTTGGGTGTGTTTGCTCCACTGTGCAGCTACTTGTTTGGTGAGTGTGTTCTAGGTCCTAGGTGTAATTACTCTTGACCATGGGAGTTCTGGGGAGGTGGGAGGGGTGTTGTCGTTCTGCTACAGAGTGTGAGTACATATGTGGGAGTACCGTGCCCTGTCTATTTAAGGTGGGCTATGCAATGCCTCCAATGTCTGTTGGTGCTATATATTTGCAGATTCTATTATGGAGAGTAGTGACCCAGAGGCGTCATGTAGGTCCAGCCATTCAACATTGGATTGGGCAGGCAAAGAAAAAAAAACAAACAACAACTTTTGGTGGTAGTAGGTTTTGCACAGATTATGATTGAGTCCTGGTTATGCTTCCGCTGGGGGGGTTGGTGCCCTGCGTCAAACCGGTCTCCAGAGGCTGTCGCTGTTCCGTGATCTGGGAGCTCCCGGCCCGTGGGACGAAGGGAGTGATATGTTCTGGGTCCCAGTTATCTGTGGTTGTTCTCTGAGGTGGGTTAGCAGCGATCGGAGTGTTCAGTCCCAGTGTTTCTAGGAGCGCGGGTGTGCCTTCCATTGAGGTGAGTGTGTGTTGAGTTCCGTTCCGTTTCACTATCAGTGAACCATTGGTCCCCCACCTGTATTCGATGTTCGCTGATCTCAAGCTACTGGTGAGAGAAGAGAAGGTTTTTCTCCAGGTGAGGGTGGCTCTCGTGAGGTCCTGGAAGAAATTCAGTGTAGTTCCCTCGAAAGCCAGTGGTGGTGTCCCTTTGAGAGCCGCCATTAGCTGTATTTTGTCCTGTACTGTTGGACATTTAAGTATCACGTCTCGGGCTATGTTTGTTGGTGCTCTAGCGGACGAGGGTAGGCGATAGATCTCTGCTGTGGCTAGTTTTTTCGCTGTAGCTGGAGGCAAGATTGTGGCCAGGAGGCGTCTGGAGTAGTGTGGTAGCTCGTTTGGTGAAATTTCCCCAGGGATGCCCCTGATTTTAATGTTAGTGCGCCTTTGCCTTTCTTCCAGAGCAGTGAGCTGTGCAGTCATATTCCTTTGGTGGGTATATATTTGCTGCACTAATTCCTGTAGCTCTGACAGGTGATCCTGCAGGCACGTGATGTCTTTTTCAGAGGCCTGCACCCGTTCGGTAATTGCTTTGATGTCTTTTTTTAATGGGAGCAAGTTCCGCCACCAGGATTTTGTGAAAGTCCGTTAGCAGAGTTTTGAGGTCCTGCCTGGTGATTGGGTCATCCGGCTGTTTTGGACTCTCTGCTTGGGTGTCTGTGGAGGCCTCTGGGTCTGCTTGATTGGAGTGGGTTACAGGGCGCAGGGATTCGGCAGGGGCGGTTTTGGCCTGCATGGGCCGTTGGAGCATGGCCCCGATATCCCTGTTGTCTGTGGTGTGTTGTGGTCGTTGGGAGCGGTGTCCCATAGCTGGCATGTGTGCTGGTAGGACTGCCGTGTTAGGGGTTGCCCTGTCCCACACCTGCCTTGCTGCTGAGCCGCTCAGGATCGCCTCCAGGCCTGCGTATGACAGCGTGGGGTAGGCCCCGGTTTTCTTTCTCCGCTTGGGCTGATGGGTGGCCGCGAAGAACGGCATCTACCACCTCAGGGTGGGTTAATGGGTCTTGGTGCCCGCTTTTTATAGCTGGATGGGCCACTTGTGACTTGATAGTCCCTGGATTTATCGAGGTTTGTGGAGCAGCATTCAAGAATGGCGTCTCTCCAGGTTGATGGTCCCGCTCTTGCTTGTTAACCGCGAAAGGAACTAATTAAGTAAGTGTTTTCCCTGGGTGGCTGCCATTTCACATAACCGAATGCACGTGTTCTTAGGAATGGTGGACATTATGTTTTCACGAGGATACAATACCTTGTGAACATCGGGGAAACTATACTGCTGCCTGCTCCGCTTCTAGACCAGCTAGGAGAGCGCTCTTCAGGAGAAGGATACCATCGACTAGGGGGAGCATTCATGCCCTAAAAGCCAGGTGGAGTCTTTGTTGGTGTTCGCAAAGGAACACACTAACATTTATCGGCCTTTGCTCCATTTTCTATGGAACTGTTTTGAGCTTCAATCTCGTGTCGGCCGGTCAGAACTTTACCGCCGGTGGCGATTCTCTTCCACGGAACAGATATGAGAACTATTTGGACAACTCAGATCCGGGCTTTCCATGGATATAATACATGTGGGAATCCTGTGAATATTTGGATTGCTTTTGGGGATTTTGAATATTTTTTATATGGTTCCCTGTAAGAAATAATTGAGCTACCATTCCTTGACTCAATTATCTCCCAGAGCCGAAACCATGGATGAATTATGCTGTGCTGAAACGAAAGACCCTCAAAGAGTTGCTGGAAGCCTAAGGACAAGTCGCCAGTAACTGGTCCAAAGCCACCCTAATTGCAGCACTCATGGAGGAGGACAGACCCAGCAGAGATACATCTCTACCTGCGGCAAAAGAAACAGAATTCCAATGCGAAATGCGGACTTGCTTGGCCTTTTATGGGAGTAACCCCTTGAAGGAAACATTGGCCCGAACTATGCCTGAAGTTCAGGCATACATTTTGGCAAAGGCCGACTTGGAGAACCAGTTGCACTTGTCTGAATGGCAGTCGCTACAAGTACCCACCGTCGTCTCCCCAATAATCGAGCCAAAGCCAATGATTCCTTATGGTGCATTCAAGACGTTCGTGGACATGACCGGCATCAGACATTTTGGGGCCGCCAACACAACTCAAGGTCTGGGTCTCCAGGAGCCCGCCCTCAAGGCCAGCTTCCAAATTCCACCCACAGGACCCAACTCCAAATCCGCCCACAAGGAAATAGTGTTTGTAGAGTGGATGCAGTGTGTGTAAAGTGCAATGTGTGTTAGTGCATGTGTAGTGGATGCAGTGTGTGTGTGTGTGTGTGCATATATATATATACACACACAATTTGTGTTTTAAATGTAAGCATGTTTTTGTATGGAGTATGTGTGTGAATATTGGTGTTTGAATTCATGTGTGCATTTTTGTGTAGTGTATACACAGATGCACACGCTGACACACAGATATATACCCACACAGACACACATACAGATACACAGACACTCAGACTTTGACACAGAATACACACAGACACAAACACAGATATACACACACACACACACACAAAGATACACACATACAGACACACAGAGACATACTGACAAACACACATACTAACGTAGACATATAATGAAAGACATACACACACATACTGAAACAGATATACACAGACAGACACACAGAAATACATACTGACACACAGACACATGCATAAGGACACAAAGACACAGACATACATATACGCATACTGATAAAAGCGCTATGGAATTTGTTGGCGCTGTATTAAAGATAATAAAAAAAAATAACAAACAGAGATACTGACATACATATACACACATACTTACTGACACCCAAATCCACACACATACCTGCTGACATACACACACATACTGACACCGACATACATACTGACTTAGACACACATACATACTGATACACACGCACACTTACATACTGACACACACATACATACAAAAACATAAATACAGACACATACATACACATGCATACATACATACATACACACTGACACACACACATGCAGCTCGTTTTTTAAGCCACCCTCCTGTTTCTTACCTTTTTTTAGTGCAGGAGGGCTGTCCCTTCCTCCCAGCACTAGTTGAGGCTGACTATTACACGGCCACAAAGCTGACCGGACCCCATCGGTTGGCCCTAAGTGCATGGTGACCCTCTCAACCTGCGGGCCCTTGTGCAGCTGCACTGGCAACAGTTCAGCCGCTGTACATGGGGCACGGGTGGCCTGGCCCCCCAGGGCCGCCGCAGCTCCGCTGGGCCCCTGACAACCATCATGGTTGTTACCCCCTGATTGCGGCCCTGCTCATGGAATCTGAAGAGGACATCAACTAATTTTTGCAGGATTTTGAATGGCTATGCCATCTACACAATGTGGCTCCCAAGAATCGCATAACCCTCTTGGACAGAAGACTGACTGGTAGAGCCGCGGACGCATACCGAGCATCTCAAGACCTGGAGGAGAAGATACTAGTCATCCTACTTGAGCAATTTTAAATGGATTGTCGATGGAATTACAAGAATGAGTAAAGGACCGACAACCCCTAACCCTAACCGAAGCTGCTCAATGGGCGGATGAGTATATGGATGCTAGACAACCTCAGCAACCCAGCTATCGACTACCACTTCGCATGGTCCAGGCGTATCCTCACTCTCCTTCACCTCAACTGCCAAGCAACCCGACCCCATTGTCACCCAGGAGAACCCCAAACCGGGCTGCTATCCAGTGCCATCAAAGTTTTCGATACGGACATATGATGAGAGATTGCACTTAGCAGAGAGACCGTTTCCAATGGGTCCAACCCCAGACCTCCTGCAGCACTCAGGGTATTTTATTGTTGCCACACAGACTCCCCTTCCAACCAACCAGTCACCGAGGAAGCTTGGGGTATTTTACATGGCCTCGGCAGTCCATAAAACCGAATGGCTGAATTGTCTACGAGACACTGGGGCTACTTTAACACTAGTCCAGAATGAGCTAGTCAGCGAGGGTCAAAGACCTGGAGGTGCCGTATCTGTCAGGGTAGCAAGGGGAGCAGTCTATCATCTGCCTACCACAAAAGTACATCTGGATTTTGGCGCCAGAAATGGGATGACCGAGGTTGGACTGATGAACCACCTGCCTGCCGAGGTTCTATTGGGCAACGACCTGGGCCTGTTGACCTCCACCTTTGTACTTCGTCCAGACGATGAGGAACTTTACCACATGACTACAAGCCAGAACCGCTCAGGATCGCTCTCAATCCGAGGCTCGGGTAGGATGACGTCGCGTTACTGTAACCCCAGCCCCCCTTTCCTGGAATACTCCAGAGGCCATTGAAAAGGAAGGTAGCATCTGATCCCTCCCTGCAGAAGTACAGAGATAAGGTAGCCACCAGTCATGCAGGATTAGAGGGGGAAAGATTTATGTGGAATGGTGGGCTATTATACCAGGTAGCAGAAAGGATAGATTCGGGGGCCGCCCCGATGACCACAAAGCAGCTAGTGGTACCCAGAAAATATAGACAGAACAGGATTGCCTATGATATTCCCCTAGCAGGTCACTTACTGGTAACCCCCACTAAACATCGGCTCACCCAGAACTTTTTATGGCCAGGCATCTCCAAAGACCTATGGCAGTATTACCAGTCCTGTGATGTCTGTCAGAAAGTAGGAAAGAGAGGGTTCCCCACAAAGCTAAGCTCCATCCCCTTCCCATCATTGCTGACCCTTTTGGAAGAGTAGCTGTCAACATCATAGGACCCTTGGCCAAGCCTAGCCCCTCTGGGAAGAAATATATTCTGACCATTGTGGACTAGGCTACCAGATATCCCGAGGCTGTAGCTTTGCACAACATCAAGGCAGAGACCTTGCTGAGTCGCTGATGTGAGTGTTCTCTCGAATGGGTTTTCCTTGGGAGATCATCTTGGATCAGGGTACACAGTTCACCACCAAAATGACCCACCAGTTATGGAAGTTATGCAGCATCAAGCCAATGCAGAGTTCCCCGTACCACCCCCAGACTAATGGCTGTGCGAACACCTCAAGGGTACATTGAAGCAGATGCTTCATACCTTTACTGCAACACCCCGGGACTGGGAAAGATTCCTGCCGCATCTCCTGTTTGTATATTGGGAGATGCCCCAGGAATCCAGTCAAGTTACTGTTCGGCTGGAGGGTAAGATGACCCCTAGATCTAGTCAGGGAACATTGGGAGGGAGATGTAAGCCATTGTGCCATACGTGAATTCATGGACCACCTGTAAGAGCTCACCCAGTTAGTCTGAGAGAACCTCCGCTTAGGCACAACAGTGCACATGGTATGATAGGGGGGCCAGAGGCCGTGGCTTTCAGGTCAGGCAGAAGGTTTTGGTCCTGAAGCCCGTCCACCATGACAAGCTAAAGGCGGCCTGGCAGGGCCCATACAAGGTGGTGGAGCAGAAATGCGACACCACCTATGTGAACTGGTCCATGCTCAAGAGAAGTGGCTCAACACTTGCTACATGTTAACATGCTCAAACCTTACCATGAGAGGATGGAGGATGTAGATGCTATTTGTGCTCCCACCTTGGAAGATTTTGATAATCTTCCACTCGTCTAACCTTCTAGATGACGGCGTTCAGACAGGGTCCTTTGAAGAAGTCCAATTTTGGGACAGGTTGAGCCAGGAAGAATTTAGTCAAGCCCCGCAGATGTTGGCAAAAAAAAAAAAAAATACCTTCTCCAATGTGCCGGGGTACACTATCTTGGCCACCCACAGATTGGAAACCCCCGTACCGAATACCTGAGGTCCTTTAGGAAAATATGAGACAGGAGATCCTTTGCTTAGGGGTGGTAGAAGCATCGGAAAGTCCTTGTGCCTCCCCGGTGGTCCTTGCCCCAAAACGAGACAACATGACTAGGTTTTTTTAGTGTAGACTTTTGGAGACTCAATGACAAGGCGGTGTCCCACGCCTACCCCATGCCCCGTATTGATGAGCTTTTAGACCGAATGGCTCATGGCCAGTACCTTACCCCAATTGACTTGTGCAAGGGGTACTGGCAAATCTCGTTAGCCACGGACGCCATACCCAAGTCGGCCTTTGTCACTCTGTTCGAACTGTACCAATTTCCGGTCATGCCATTCGGAATGAAGAATGTACCGGCAACGTTTCAGCAGATGGTGGACCAGCTTTTAGATGTTTTTCAGTAACACATGGGAAGATCACTTGGTCCATCTAGGGACAGTATTAGATAGAATACGAGAGGAAGGATTAATGTTAAAGCCCAGTAAGTGCCATATAGGCATGGTGGAGGTCCAATACCTAGGGCACCAGGTGGGCTGTGGGAAGCAGAACCCCAAGCCAGCTAAAATTGAGGCAGTAGCTAACTGGCCCACTCCCCATACAAAAACCCAGGTAATGGCTTTTCTAGGGATTACAGAAGATTTGTCCCATACTACGGTGCTCTAGCCAAGCCCCTAACTGACCTGACTTGAAAAAAATTTACCTCGTCAAGTGAACTGGACCCAGGAGCAAGCCTTCCAGGAATTTAATAGTCTTCGTGAACCGCTTAGTCCCATCCTGACCACTCCTAATCCAACTAAACGCTTTCTTATCCACATAGATGCTTCCATGCTTGGGTTGGGAGCCGTGCTGAGCCAGGTCGGGGATGGTGGCGGAAAAAATCCATTAGTTTACCTCAGCAGGAAGTTACTACCATGGAAGGTGAGCTATGCCACCATCAAGAAAGAATGTCTAGTGGTGGTGTGGGCTCTTAAAAAGTTGCAGCCTGAGGGGCGGGGCCTGACTCTCAAGCAGGCCAGACGTGTTTGCTTGGAGCTCCTGCAAGAATAAGCTTTGCCAAGCAAAATCAACGAAGAAAAAATCATAAATAACTCTACACCGAGCACAGACCGCAACTAACAAAGAGGAGACATTGAGAATCCCAAAACTCTGTTTATGCAAGCATGATCTGCAGTCTGGCCAAGTGGCCAGTCTGGCCAAGTGATCTCCAGCTGGGTGCCGAACATCCTGAATAGACCACCTTGGGCCCTAACACCCCCCCCCCCCTCTGGACCGGTGGGGGATATCCCAGTCCCCACTGGGATCACTATCGAAGCTCCAGTGGCCCCCGGACTTTACCGTTCATGGAGCCGCATGGTGACTCAAAGATGGCCGCCAGCCCGCCATTTCTCTTAAGCACAGCTAACCCAGAGACTGGGTACAAGACTTTCAGATGAGATTCGACAGGGTCTTCCAGGATTTCTGGGCCTGTATAGCCCAACACTCAGGCACCACTACCATGCCGGTCCGAGAACAGCATCGACGACCGAGTGTTCCCATGACTGCTTCGTCCCAGCCCGAACTGACGCACGATAGAGACAGGCAGAGACCCATCAAGCACGTCCCTGCCACAATGCTGAAAGTGGGGAACCAGAGGTAGGCACGTTGACTACACCACAGACCCAGCCGGCACAACCTGTCCCTAAATCGCTCCCTCCCCGGGCCGCGGGTCCTCAAAGGAGTTCCCCACACTCACCACCTCTATCGAGCTGGGGAATCTCTCCAACGCAGGAGTGAACAGCCCGGCAATGGGCACCAAGCTCAACTCGCAACGCAACAGGGTACCCACGGAACCGGTTATTGGGACTGTATCTTGGCTGGGAAATGGAGGGGCATCGCTTGCCAAGACGCTGTCCAATATATGAAGGGCATTGGCTGAACTCAATGAGATCACGATTCGGCTCCTTCTACCCGACGACCTAGGCTACCAGCTCATTACCTGAACACTCTCAAACCTAGTGGTATCAACTACTAATAACGCAATACAGTTGCAAGAAAAAGTATGTGAACCCTTTGGAATGATATGGATTTCTGCACAAATTGGTTATAAAATGTGATCTGATCATCATCTAAGTCACAACAATATACAATCACAGTCTGCTTAAACAAATAACACACGAAAAATGAAATGTTGCCATGTTTTTATTGAACACACCATGTAAACATTCACAGTGCAGGAGGAAAAAGTATGTATGATATATCCTTGATAAATATACTCTGTGTCCCTAGCATACGTGCCAATATATATTCGTACTTAATGTAGTAGTATAGTAACTCAGACACCAGTGGAAAGCTATAACGCTGTGCTTTCGCTAGGGTTAATACCCTTATTAAAGTAGATACGTGACTGGTTACCTAAGCACCCACCCTAACTCCTTACAGAAAAACTGGAATCTGATGTGTGCCAGGCTTCTCAAGCCTATAGCAAAGCTAAACGAATAGACGTATTGGTTCAACATGATATATAATAACGGGTGCAGCTAACCCAAATGATTTGCATACTATATCACATGTTTATCTATTTACTCTTCTTTTCCCATCTAACAAGTTTAGTTATGTGAAAATTATGACTAGGTCTTACCTCTATCAGTTAGACCTGTAAATCAGCCTGTTTTTTTGTTGGGCACGGCAACACTATACTATGTAATACCCATGGATAGATGAGCTCTTTGGTCATATAAATCATATGAATATCCACCATCTTAGACATAACTGCCTAGCTTGAATCTTGCTTGTTTTATATTCCCTAAAAATGTGCTGTTTATACAAATGTCATACCAATATTTCTCTGTGTATCACACTAAGACGGCTTACTAATGTTGTTGTGACATTGTGAGCATACCTGTAGTCATTCATAAGCACAATAAAAATAAAGAATTATTAAAAAAAAAAGTTGCAGCCCTACATTTTATGAACAACAATTTACCTAACTCACGGATCACAATCCGCTGGTGTAGCTTAACTGGGTCACTTGTGACAACGCTAGGCTGTTACGCTGGAGCCTGGCATTACAGCCATATTACTTTTTTTCATTGTATCTTATTTCTTAGCTTTTTTTAATGAGTTGACAAGTTGTAGTATAAACATTTTGCTTGGCCATGATACCGCGTGTAAGGTATACAATGTACATTGATGTTTACAATAGCGCAATAAACTTCCGAATGTCCAAATTGCCGAAGTGCCGAGCTGAACCAAAGTGCCAAAGTTCTGAAAAGTAGCAAAACAGTAGAGGAAGGGAAAATTAAGGGAATTATGACCAGAATCTAACCCCAACCCAAACCCTAACACTAACCCTACCCCTAGTAGTGTTAAAGTTAGGGGTAGGGTTGGCGAAAGGGGTAGGGTTAAGGTTAGGCTTAGGGAATTGCCGAAGTCCCGAATTGTCAATGTCCAGAATTTTGGAAGTGCTGAACCAAACCTAATTTTTTTCCCATGCACTTCCCTAATGTTAAGTGATTCAAAACAAGTATAGCGGTGTGCCACATATAATGCATGTCTTCGGTGTCTTGCTGTTCATGGTTCGAGCTTCCAGTGGTCGTTAGATGTCCATATGGCTTAACCTATTAAGGTTTGAGCCGTATAGTGCTCATTGTAATCAACTTGTATCTTTTTTTTTAAGGTTCATTAAAACATAAAACAATGCAAAGAAGTGGAGAAAGAAATTATCACATCATCGGAATGTTTGTTTGCATAGGTTGCTCTGTGCATAGGGTCTCATCATATTCTTGTATGCCCAGGGCCCCGTGCTGCCCTTCCTGCCCCACTAACATTTGTATATGTGGTGAGTATGTCCTACCCACCCGACGTGCCCCATGGAAATCACGCATCCTCATCAACCTCCCAAAAGCTTCCATTACCGATTTCCACTTTGCCCATATTTGCTCAAACATATGGGTTGTGTTGGTCAGTCTATGTGCCATTTCCTCATATAGCCTGGTCTTATTGAGTCTCTCCAGAATCATGGACAATGGGGGTGCTTGTTTGTTTTTGCAAATGGCTGCTGTGCTGCTTTTTGTGGCTATCAATACATGTATGATTGCTGATCTTTCTGCATTATTTACTCCTATTGGTAATATTACCACCAATAGGAGTATTATTATATTATTAATATTATTATTTCCATTTATATAGCGCCAACAGATTCAGTAGCGCTTTACAATTTTATAAGAGTGTGGATTTAGCTATAAATAGGACAAGTACAAGAAAACTCCAGCTTCCAGTGGGTAGACCTCTCCTAGTCCAGAGAGCGTAGCAGGAAGAGCTCTTATAAGAGCTAGTGATTATACTCAAGGGAATATTGTGATATACCGTATTTTTCGCTCCATAAGACGCACCTCACCATAAGACGCACCTAGTTTTTAGAGGAGGAAACCAAGAAAAAAAAATATTCTGAACAAACTGTTCCATAGTGTTTCTTACCATGGGACAGTTTGTTCAGAATATTTTTTTTTCTCCCCTGTCCCATAATGATCTTTAACCCCCCTTTCCTCTGTCCCATAGTGATTGTTAACCCCTCCTACCCTGTCCCATAGGGATTGTTAACCCCTCCTACCCTGTCCCATAGTGTTCTTTAACCCCTCCTCCCCTTGTCCATTAGTGTTCTGATCCCATAGTGTCCCCCCCTCCCATTGTTCCATAGTGCACTTTCCCTCCCATAGTGTCCCCCCTGCCCTTGTCCCATAGTGTCTCCCCCTCCCCTTGTACCATAGTGTCTCCCCCTCCCCTTGTCCCATAGTGTCCCCCCTCCTCTTGTCCCATAGTATCCCCATCCCCTTGTCCCATAGTGTCCCCCCTCCCCTTGTCCCATAGTGTCCCCCCCTCCCCTTGTCCCATAGTGTCTCCCCTCCCTTTCTCCCATAGTGTCCCCCCTCCCCTTCTCCCATAGTGTCTCCCCTCCCTTTCTCCCATAGTGTCTCCCCTCCCTTTCTCCCATAGTGTCCCCCTCCCCTTGTCCCATAGTGTCTCCCCCCCTCCCCTTGTCCCATAGTGTCTCCTCCCCTCCCCTTGTCCCATAGTGTCTCCTCCCCTCCCTTTCTCCCATAGTGTCCCCCTCCCCTTGTCCCATAGTGTGTCTCCTCCCCTCCCCTTGTCCCATAGTGTCTCCCCCTCCCCTTGTCCCATAATTACTTACCTGTCTTGGAGCGTGGGCCGGCTTCACAGCGCGCTCCGCGGTCCAGGAACTAATATTTCAGGTTCCGGTTTCCGGCGGGACTGAAAGGAAGTATGCACACTCAGTGTGCACACTTCCTTTCAGTCCCGCCGGAAACTGGAACCTGAAATAGAAGTTCCTGGACCGCGGAGCGCGCTGTGAAGCCGGCCCACGCTCCAAGACAGGTAAGTAATTCTTCACATTCGCTCCATAAGACGCACAGACATTTCCCCTCACTTTTGAGGGGAAAAAAAGTGCGTCTTATGGAGCGAAAAATACGGTAGCTATCCCCAGAGTGAATGTAGTTCTCCAATCCCCCAAACATGAGCCAAGACTTCATGAAAGGTAAAACAAATCTGTTTAATGGCAGCCACCATTGGCATTATATGCAAGTCCCCATGCAAGGGGCACTCCCACCTGGACCTTGTGGGGAACTGCAGCACCAAGTTACAGACCAATAACAACAATGGTTAAATGCATGACACCCCCATATACAAACACACAATCCCTCCCCTCTGCATGGGAGATAATTGGATCAGGAACTGCACTAATCTAATCCAATTATCTCCAAGCACAGAAAAAACAAACATACATTTTTACAAACACCCCAAAAGCACCTTAAAACACACAAAATCCCCACAAACACAGGGACACAAACTTAACAACCAATAAAAGCAAGGTTACAAAGTATGACACTCCCCTATACATCATACAATCCCTCCCCTTTTCCTGGGAGATAATTGAGGCAGATACTGTATTAACCCAATTATCTCCAGGCAGAAAAAACATATATTTTACAAAACCTAAGGGCTAACAGTCGGTTTCTCTGTCTGTAGTACAAAAGTACATACCTCACATAAACAGAGCTTTTTCAAGTGCACAGGCCCCTCCAAGAACCCATGACGAGGCTGGGTGGGTGGGGGCCCTAAATATCAATAAGGGGGGGAACCTATTGTCCTCCCTGACCCCCACCTCTGAGTGGCGGGTGGGGGCCCTAAATATCAATAGGGGGGGACCTATTGTCCTCCCCCCTGGCTCCCACCCCTGATCAGCGGGTGAGGGCCCTAAATTAGAATAAGGAGGGGGGGACCTATTGTCCTGGCCCCCACCCCTGAGCGGTGGATGGGGGCCCTAAGTTAGAATAAGATGGGGGGGCTATTGTCCTCCCCCCTGGCCCCACCCCTAAGCGGTGGGTGGGGGCACTAAACATCAATAAGGGGGAGGGACCTGTTGTCCTCCCCCCTGGCCCCCACCCCTGAGCGGTGGGTAGGGGCCCTAAATAAATGTTTCACCCCACCCCAGGTGACTTCAAAGTGCGTTGGTTATTGTGGATTTTTATTTGGCCTTTTTTGGGGCTGAAGAAAGAAGACATCAAATGGTAAGTTTTTTTGGGGGGTTTTTTTTTAACAGGTATCTAGTTAATGGTCCCCCTCACTATTTTTAGGGTGAGGGGAGTAGGTAGGGGTTATTGTTTTTGGGTGGGGGGGCTTAAATGTTTATTTAGGGCTCCCACCCGCCGCTCAGGTCCCCCCCCTTATTCTAATTTAGGGCTCCTACCCACCGCTCAGTGGTGAAAGGTAAGTGCTGAAGGGGTTTTAACCACACACACACACACTCTCTCACAAACAGACGCATACGCACTAGCTAACAGACACACATATTTACTGACAGACACACTCCGTGACAGACATACATACGCACTCACTGACAGACAGACACATACACACTCACTTACAAAACATACACTCTCACTGACAAACACACATTCACTAACAGACACACACACACCGACGCTCACTAGCAGACACACTCAATAACAGACACACACAAACTAACACACTCAGTAACAGACACACACACAGTAACACACTCACTGGCAAAGAGGCTGGCAACACTGGAGGTGCGACCCTGCGACCGTATGCCAGCAACACCTCTGCCCATTTCTGCCTTATCTGTAGTGATAATGAAGTGGCGGACAGTGGTTTTATATGCTGAGGATGGAGGTGTGGCGGAAGCCATACTAGGTGGAGTATAGGCCATGTGACTTTACTATACATTATCAAACCGGTAAACAGAACGGAAACGCCGATGGGTTATCACGAGAAACAGAACTAGAAAAGTGATCTGTGAGTACTTCCCCAAGCTTGTGGGTAAGAGGGTGCTGTGTGGTGGAACATTTTACATTGAACTTTACCCCAGTGTCGATTCCACCGAACGGATATGAGCGCTATTTGGACAACTCAGATCCGGGCTATCCCTGGATATAATACATGTAGGGTTCCTGTGAATATTTGGGGTGCTTTTGGGGGTTTTGAATATTTTCTGTATGGTTCCCTTTAACTGAGAGAAAATTGAGTCACCATTCCTTGACTCAATTATCTCCCAGACACAGGGATGCCTGACAGTATCTTGTAATACTTTGTACTATGAACTATATTACTAGTTACTGGAGAAATACGAGCTACAATCACACAAGGTTCCAGCCTGGCTGA